TTTAAAAGCATCTTATTTAGTTCATAAGATATAATGAGATAATTGTTTAATTGGCACCCAATTACAAAAATTACTTATAAGTGTGACACATTTTATAGTTAAATGGGGATAAAAAAAATCAGTCACTTTTGAGGCATGATTCAATTTATTTCTCTGGCTGATTGGCAGATTGAAATCTGCCTGAGCCTTGGATCTCTCAGAACCCACTCAAACTACTTAATTTCAGTTAATTTTCTTCTGCACAACCGGGCTGCCATATTTGATGAAACCTTTTGTGAGGCTTAATTATTACCCCTTCTTTACCTTAACTCTCCCATGTGGCATAGAGACCTCTAAAATTTGTGCACCAGGTTAATGATTTTAATTCTGCATTTCATAGGCAGCTTGTAGAAAGGTAAGAATGTGACAGACTTTTCTTCAGCTGTTCCAGTTATGGAAGAATAACAGACTCAAAAAGGAAATCCTACTGAGAGATTGGGTATTTTCATGTTTACTCAAAGAGAACTTGGCACTGCTGTGACCCACTCACTGGCATATGGGCTTATCTAACACATACACATTTTTGTATAACACACACGGACCTGGGACCTTGGTCTCAGATACAGAACTGTGGGCTATTCCAAATGTCAAGGCAAAGTGTGAAATTTATCTATGGAGTTACTTCATCCAATGAGGAGGGAAGCCAGAAATAAATTTGATCCTTTCTGAACAAGGTAAGATAGGAAACTCTTTAGGTTAGAGCCCTTTAGATCTCTTTATGTTATTGAAGAATGTAGACAATAAAAAGTGAAAGGAAAGCATACATTTCCTGTGCTGGTAGTTTAGACTGTGACATTTTATAACATCCTCATGCAGAATTGAAAATTTTATGACAAGTACAACCTATTTGTACAAAAATGATTGTCTAAATATCACCAAAGATAAAATATTGCTTTCTCATATTTTGTGTCAAAAATCTACACCTAATCTTCTGCATTGGGAGTAATTTAAAATTGTGGTTAGAAATTCAAATTTACCCCAAGGAATTAGGTTTCAAATAATTTTGATATCTGTATCCGATCCGGTCTTTCCTAATACAAAATATATGATCGATAGGATGTTTGGAATGTGACTGTTTAGAAATCTTTTAAAGCACTAAATTTTATGACAATCCATGATTTTATAGGAGCGTCTCATTCACCTCTCCAAGTAAAAACTGCCAGTCCAGATATGCCAATGTAATTTAGAATTTTTTTCTCTAACACTTCTGTACATTATGGATTCATTCAAAATTGTTTTCCTCTCTCACTGGAAGCAGTTGGTCTGCCTGGAAAGCTCCAAGCAAACTGCAGATGCTTTCATAATCTAAAGAAATAAATCATTAGAATAGCAACTATGTGAAATCATCTACCTTGAAGCACTTGTACTGATAGCATATTCACCACTCTGCCCTTTGTTCTATCTGTCGGCAATGTTGGGAAATGCCTCAGTTTATGAGGGCAATAGCAGATTTCTCAGTAAAAGGAACCCAACACATAACCACATCAGCCCTATCCCCTTCCCTTAGTTACCTCCTTTGCAGTACCCCCCTATCTAGTTCTGCTACCTTGCAGAAAATAAAACCCATATATTTGAAAGTGAAAGAACAACAAACCCAACAAAGCTGACATCCTGAATGTATAGCCTTTCTGTAGTTTCTCTATTTTCATTAAAAAAAAAATTGCATATTATTTGATAATGTGTTGGTGGTTAGGAGATGGATAAATATTCCAGTAGGATCTAAACACTTAAGTTAAATTTATTCAGATTTTAATGACATGGTAACCCTAACTGAAGTTAATTTAAGTGAAATTCTGCTTTTGCTAACAAAAGAAGTGTAGCTTGATTTCACTGTGGCTGTTTACGTAGTAAGAATGTGTTAACAGAGTAAGTTAACAGTGTAACAAAGTAAAACAAATCTACTGGGGTAAGATTTTTCTCCTTTGATATTTGCTTGAGTAGTACAATGGCCTGACCTGTGTCTAGGGACCTTAAGATGTACAATAATAAGGAAAAAGAATATAATTTGATGTGTTTTGTTTTTAATAATAATGGTAATATTCCAGTCTGTGAAAAGGATTATAGCAAAGGAGTTCCTAGTAGAAACAGGTCACAGATGTTCTGCTCAAATAGCTTCACAGAAAACTGCAAACTTCACAGATAAACTACAGCCCTGCAAGAAAAAGTATGTCTTAAATCCTCTCCAGCTCTTTTCAGATCAATGACATGGAATTACTGTGTCTACAAGTGCCACAAATTCTGCTATTTCTTAATAACTTTACTTTCTCAATGTAAATTAAAAATTAATTACAATAAATTAATTTTATATGTTAGCACTTGGTAGCGGGGGTTTTTTTTCTCATGTTTCATTTTAATTATGATGAATACTAAATAAATAGGTAAGATTTTGCATCTAAATAAATGAAGTGCAGAAAATTAGGCTTATCTATCTAGTTATTATGCCATTATTTATTGGATGAAGAGGGAAATATAGTGACGATTGATGAGGTAAAGGCTGAGGAAATGAATGCCTTCTTTGCCTAAATTTTTAATAGCAATATCAACTGTTGTGGGGGTATCCAGCCCCCTGAGCTGGAAGACAATGATGGGGAGCAGAACTTAGTCTCCCTGATCCTGGAAAAAGTGGTCAGCAACCTGCTACACCACTCAGACATGCACAACTGTTTGAGACTGGAGGGGATACACCTAAGGGTATCGGGTGTTGATCAAAGCACTCACTGAGCCTCCTTCCCTCATCAGCAGTCCTGCCCAACTGGGGATGTTCCTGTTGACTAGAGGTTTCCAAATGGGACATCCATCAACAAGATGGGCAAGAAGGATGATCCAGGAAACTACAGGCCTTGATGCTGGGGAAGGTCATTGAGCAGCTGGCTCATCCTGGCCTGTGCCAGCAATGGTGTGGCCAGCAGGAGCAGGGCAGGGATTGTCCCCCTGTACTCAGCACTGGTGAGGCCACGTCTCAAATCCTGCGTCCAGTTCTGGAGCACTCACTTCAGGAAAGACATTGAGGCGCTGGAGCATGTCTGGAGAAGGGCAATGGACCTGGGGAAGGGTCTGGAGCACAAGTCCTGTGAGAAGCAGCTAAGGGAGCTGGGAGTGTTTAGCCTGGAGAAAAGGAGGCTGATAGGAGACCCTGTGCTCCCTACAACTGCTTGAAAGAAGCCAGGTGGGGGCAATCTCCTTATCCAAGTTAACATGTGATACAAGGAAGAGGAAATGGCCTCGAGGTATGCTGGGGAGGCTCAGATTAGATATTAGGAAAAAATTCTTCATGATGAGAGGGTCATGAGTCATCGGAACAGGCTTCCCAGGAAAGCGGTGGAATTACTGGCCCAGGAGTGCTCAGAAAACGTGGGTGTCACACTCCAGGATATGGCTTATTGTTGAACATAAGGTGCTTGGCTTGGTTAATGGTTGGAGTTAATGATTTTAGAGATCTTTTCCAAACAATTCTGGGATTCTAGAAAGCCATTTACTCTACTCATTATATATCTGTATACAAATAATTACTTCTTTTAGGCATAAGCTAGACTTCCAGAACAGTATTTTTTCTTTCCATGTTTCAAATATTTGCATGTATATTTCTTTCACTGTAAGACTCTTTAAAGTTTTTACAAAAGTGCTGAGTAACAGATAAAAACTTCACCCGGAAACAAAGAGCCGCCACTGAAATTGTAGCCTTAGAAGGACACTGAATAAAACCTTTCAATTATTTGCATTTATTGTATTTAAGTTCCTATGCTAGACAGGTCTCAGAGCATGTCAACAAGATTCCCACACTAAGATGAAATTAAATTAGAAGACGTGCTCCTGAAACACACCTGATTTGCACCAACTGATAGGAGCAGTGTACTGGAACAGACTGAAAAAGCAACGCTGGAGCAAAACTCAAGCCTCCAGACCCTTCCATTTCTACTCCTGCCATGTCCATGAAGTGTGGGTCTTTGGCCACATTCACTACTCTGCAGACACACTTCTTCTGGGACAACATCATCACAATACAGTCATTATTTAGAAGATCAGGAATAAGATTTGCACGTTCCCTTAACACTTCAGTGGTATTTATCCTGTCAACTTCAGCAGCTAATTCTCAGCATCTCCAGCACTTAATTACCTGCTTTTATGAACTTGAATTCACTACCTTTTTCACTTAATATAGTAAGCTTGACAAAAACAAGAGGCTCAGGACGATTTAGCATCTAATTAGCATCAGACTCCATGCAAATATATTGCAGTAGAAAACAAGTCTACTGGGGCAAAACTTAATCAAAGCAAAGCCAATTTAAGTAAAAGTTGACTTCTGCAAAGGTGGTTTAAATATTTCTCTGTTTGTCAGATTAAACAGCTTTAATAAAACAGTGATTAATGAAAAAAAAAATTAAAGTATTTGAGAGTGTGTTCCTTCTGGCCTCAAACTACTGACGTAATTATATCCTCCTTGACCACAACGTACAGCCTTATTTTCAACATCAAGACTATTTATCTAGTTATGTATTTCCCTTCTGTATTGTACATTTGCAAACGAGTGGAATTCACAATGATGTTGATATATTACCTGATAATGCAGTAGATAAAAGAGAAGCTTATTTTCAAAGAAGCGTCCATAAAAATATCATTAATAAACAGAGGGATGTCCATTTCCCAGTAACATTTTCTAGCATGGTTAGGTTTAAGTTGGAATTTTAGCAAATAAAGCACACCCATACAGCAAACATGTCTTTGGGCTTTTTTTACAAAACTCCAAATTTTTTTTTCGAGCAGGCTTTTTCTTAAATATAGAAATTACTTAATTATTTCAAAAGCTAATGAACAAATATATTTTGCATCAAAAACCAAAAAAACCACCCCCCAAACCCTCAGTCAAAATACATATTTCCAAACAATCCCTGTTTCTTTTTTGTAATAGCATCAGTGACCAGCTGCAACCACGGAGGTCTCAGTGAGCTATTGTTGTCTCTTACCCGGAGTTTGAAAGTTAAGGCGTCGCAGCTCCACTGGATCTGTGGGATGGTGAGAGGGGACCTCCTTGCTGTTGGGTATGCTGCTCTTCCTAGAATCAGATTCAGCCCTCTTCCTGCATGGAGAAGGTGAATACACATAGACAGACATGTTAGCTTCACAAAGGTGCCTCAATGTTTGGCATTATATTCTAAAGGCAAGATGTTTATTTCTGAAAAAGTATTTGATGCAGTGCAAAGGTAATATAATCAGAAGTGGTGGGTATGGTACCTACAATTTGCAGTGGTAAAATGGTCAGAGAGAAAATAGCTGCATTCTGCCCTAAACTGCTCTTCCAGAACATCCTTCTGGTCATCCTAATACTTTACTTTTATAACATTAAGCCTATAAAAATTCAGACGATTCTCCGATTTTAAATGCTACCTAGCTATACCTTATACCTTTATCCCTTTATAAAAAAGCAGCAATCTCTTGAGCTAGACCACCCCAAGTTACTGTGATTAAATATTTCTTATCCTATACACATAGCTCTGCATGCTATAAAAAATAATTTGCATTCTTTAGATATTTTTAATAGGAGAAAGAACAGTCCAGAAGGCACCAATTAAGAACACATCTATTCTTTTCACTTTCTAGGATGTAAGAATTTGCTCTGTTTCCTCTCATCTCTGGAAGAGCTGAAATAGGCCATCTTCATATGTCTTATCAGGTCTACATGTATTCAAGGCTTAGATCTGTATGAATATTTCTAATCAAATTAATGCTTTTACTGCAAAGGAAGGAAAATAAAACAAAAAAAAAATCAGACAGAATTAAAGAGATAAAAGAGAATGAATGTTGCCTATGTTTCCCTTTCTCTAGAGAGAAGCAGAATCCATGTGTGTTCTCACTGACATTTTTGCTAAAACTGACTTTTGTTATCTGTATGTATCTGATGTAAAACATGGATAACTGTGTTACATGAAGAGTAGCTACCACTCTGCATCTTTATACAGAAAGTGGAATCTTTCTTCACCAGTTATTTGTGGGGTCCTGAATGAGAACACAATGTGGCTGTTATTTTTTATGTAACATAAAATGAAGACGCAAACAGAGGAAGAGTTATCTTGTGAAAACAGAACTGAGATTATTTTAAGGGTAATGATAGCAGAGTGTTTTCCAGGTGCCCAATATTTATTTTAACATAACACTTTCTTTTTCCTCATTGACTCATAATGATAAATCTGTCATTACTCCAGTCAATTTCTTGCTGCTTTTGAAATAATGAAGACCAGGTGATATATTCTGAGATTTCAAAAGTTATGAAAAAATATGCCTGAAATTTTGAAAGTCCCTAGTCCTATGGTTGTACTAGAAAAAAGAAAAAGTTTTACTGTAAAAACACTCCACCTGTTCTCCAGCACATACCTTAACATATGTATTAACTTCTCTTTAGTGAAGCAATAAAAATTTAAATCTGATTATTCTGTTTTTAGTCTTCTTAAAACAAAATTAGTACACATAAACTCAATTGAGGTTCCTTTCTTTTGATTTTGACTGTTGCAAACTCCTTTCACAGTAGCACTTGGCCCTAGTGCTCTTCCTTCTTACTGAAGATGTGTGACATAGCTTTCAATAAGTCTTTTACCCTGTACTTCCTTCTCTTTAAGTCTAGGAGTTGTAAGTATCCTTAAGTTTCTGGAACTGTCCAGGGACAAGCTTCATTTAACTTTTTTCCACTTGGAAGTTAGTACCAGGCTGCAATTTCATAATAATCTAATAAAACCACTAAAATATCTTCCAATCATGTACCTGAATATTTTCAGTACTTATAAAATTAACAGAATGGTTTATTACAAATTATTAATTGGAGGAACATCCTGGTTTTTTTAATCTCTCCAGCCTGTAGAAGATATCTCAATTCTTCCAAATTATGCAATGATTCTGAGATAGGTGGGGAAAAAAATTCCAGAAAGGAAAAAATGTATCACTGTATCATTGTCACTGGTAGAACTGTAAGTCAGTGTTTATGTGTACAGGACATTACGAAGATTCAGAGCAGCTAATGCCTCAACTACAACCATGGATTCCTTCAAGAACTTTGATTATTGTGTACAACCACTGCTTGCACAGCACTAAAACACAAATAAAATCAAATGAGCATTGTCAAGCTCTGCTATCTCCGGAAAATTAACCCCATGGAGACATAAAAAAAACTCAGTGAAAATTTGCTGCTTGTATTACATTACTTTTCAGCACTGTAAATAACATAGCAGATCTTGCACTTGCTCTCATTGACAGATTACTGCCTACATTCACTTAAGACTGACAGATGCTTTGTCTTAGATCATTATCATGATGGCTTTTTTTTCTTTTTTCTCCTTTTCTGTATTAAATGAAGAGTGATTATTTTTCACTTCTCACCTGTCAGGTTTACTGCTCCATTTTAATGCAGCAAGGAGGGAAGAAAAGGTGAAATGTTAGTTGACCAGCAGCACAGAGAATAATCATGAAAACAGGAGATACAAGAAATTTTGATTTGCAGTAAAGATATGTAACTAAACAAAATTAAGCTATGACAGCTCATCAAAATATTCAATGCTTGGAAATTACAGAATAAATGGAGGATCCAAGGTCATGTCCAAAGTGAATCTTCTGTTGAAAAATACACCTCTATCTGCCAAGAAATTAGACTTCAAATTTTAACCAGTGAGACAATGGAGAATGGGTGTTTAATTTGAGCCATGAAAGTAATGTTAACATTACATTGAAAAATTACTTCTCACTGAGATGTAGCTCCCTCTTACTTTCTAGAGAGAATAGAGATGAGAGGAGGGAAGAGAGGAAAAAAAAGGGAGAAGAGGAAGAGAAAATAAAGTGACCAACAAGGTTTAATATATTACACACATAAGACCTACACTAAATTAAAAAATAGTAATAAAAAGAAATGAAAATTTCTAAAACTATTTAACAAAACCAGGTAATAAAATCGCAAGAAATTTTTAACAGTACCCTGGAAAGAAGGGGAATCATAAATCTTCTTCCAATGAAGTATTACACACCTTTTTGGATTTAGAATGAATGCCATGTACTAGAGGTCTACTGTGATCTGTATAGATCTGTAGTGATCTATGACTATAAAGTTTAGGTAGACAGGAAAAATAATTTATCTCTCACCAATGTGTTCCATTATACACAGACACTATAACTATAGTGTCTCTCTTTCTCTGTGTAGATCATAACAAACAGGGGTTCTACAAACATTTTAATAGCTTGTACTCTGCAATGACCACATTACGCACATAGTATGAGAAAGTCCTTAAAATTCTTCATCATCACTTAAGATTTCCCATTTTCCTGTTTTACATTTCAGTGCTTTTTAACATCTGGGGTTTTTTTCTCCTGGAAGCATGCTTCTTCTTATAGCTCAAGATTCAGCAGGGGACCAGCATTCAAACAAAGTGATTCTGCCTCTATACTCCACATTGGCGAGACCCCATCTGGAGTGCTGCATCCAGGATTGGGATCATCAGTACAAAAAACACATGGATCTGTTGGAGTAGATCTAGAAAAGGGTCACAAAGATGATCAGGGGGATGGAACGGGAAAGGCTGAGAAAACTGGCATTGTTCAGCCTGGACAAGAGAAGGCTTTGGAAGACTCTCTTGCATCCTTCCGGTACTTGAAGGGACTTTCTTATAAGAAAGATGGGGATAGTAGAGCCCCCATAATGACAGGACAAGGGGTAATGGTTTGAAGTGAAAGAGGGTAGATTCAGACTAGCCAGAAGAAAGAATTTTTATTTTTTTTTTATGATGAAGACTATGAAGCACTATTTAATTTGATTCCCCAGAGAGGTGGTGGATGCCCTATCCCTCGATACTTTCAAGGTCTGTGGACGGGGCTTTGAGAAACCTGACCTAGATGAAAATGTCCCTGCTTATGGCCGGGGGTTGGACTAGATGACCTTTAAAGGTCCTTTCCAACCCACACTAATCCATGATGCTATAATTCAGAGTGCTGGAGCTACTATGTTCAAAAGATTTAAGTTTAGGCTACAGTCTTCTGACCCAAATCAAAAAGCTGCACTTGATAAAAGCAAACAATACAAAGTCTGTCAAGATGGCTTTAACTTCCTTAGAAATGGAAAAATCTAGAATGAGGAACCTTTTGCTCTTCATCAATGGAAAACTGAAATTAGGGATTTTGTGATTTCTTAAAAACTACAAGGAATATCCACATAAAGTAATTTGTTAAAAGAAAAAAAAAAAAGAAAGATACACCCTAGACCTGAGAATGAGATGACAGGATGCATCATGGGGACAATCACTTTTCTCTCTAGTTTGTTCATTTCTGAGAAACACTGCACAATTTCTAGAGCTCTTTAACATACACTAATTAAGTTCCTAATCAACCTAATCCTATGTAATTGAACATGTATCAAACATATAAAATATATGTAAACTGTGACTCAAGCAGACCTCCTAATGGTTAGGCATTTCCTCGAGGACACACACCATCTATCTATCTATTTATCTATCTATCTATCTATCTATCTATCTATCTATCTATCTACCTACCTATCTGTCTGTCTATCTATCTATCTATCTGTCTATCTATCTATCTATCTATCAATCTTTGCTTTTGTTTGAGATTTTGGATACAAATCTTACTGCACTGAGTAAGACACTCCATCTTTGAACAAAGATCTATTTTCTTGTCAACAAGAAGATGGCCAAAAAGGAATCAAGATTTATTTAATTTACTTGAATCTCTTGATTTGATTGTTTATAAAGTTTAATAGATGGAAAGATCTGCCACAAAGTAGGTGTCTCTGTTTACTATGACTGCAGGGTGGTTTCACTGCGGCAAGGACAGAGAACACTGAACTGGTTAATGGCCAAGTCAGTTCCATTTGCCAAGACAGAGTCAAGTGTAACTCAGGAAAAAATAGGTTTTACTGTGAGGATAGTTGAATATGAGAACAAGTTGCCCAAACAGGTAATTGAGTTTTCATTCTTCGCTATACAAAACTTTGCCTCTGAGCAAATTGCTGCAGGTGACCATGCTCTGAGCAGGGCTGAGGTGAAACACACTCCAGAGGTATGGCCCTCTGATTCTGTGAATCCGTGGATTCTTCTGCACACAGGAGTGTGAAGAATTGGTATGGAATATGGAATATGGTAAAATTCCATGAAATAGATATGGAATTACGTTCCATAATTGGCCTAATCTGTGTTGGCTATAATACCAATGACAAGAAAAGGTACTCTTCAGTATTGTTCTCATCTATTACTGTTTCTTACTAAGCTGCAATGACCTTTTGGTTATATTCTAATATATGATCCAAAAACTTGTCCATGAAATACCTTTGCTTTCAGATTTTAGGAAAAGCAAATGCAAAGGCAATAACCTTTTCACAGCCTAACAACAAATAATAAAGAGTTCAAACATGCATTTCTTGTCTTTGGAACAGTTTAATATACTTCAAACCGACCCATGAAACTTACCCACACTATGTAATAATGCCTGTTTTAAAGCAGGGGAAGACTTCTCCCCATAAAATTATTCTTTTGGAAACTGCAGTCGTAATTTCTCTGTGATTGTAATTAAATGTATAAGTAGTATTGTAAATCATGAGCTTAGTGGTCCAAGTCTGATCAAAAAGGTTTCTATGGACAAAGGGAATTAAACATAGTTGACCTTTATTTGAGTTACTACTCTTTGCACTTCAGAAGACACAATCATTTACCGGTCATCCTCTTTGCACTGCACATTCTTCAACAAAATCGTCCGTAATTTTTTTTGCATATATGTTCATAACTGGACTGATGCCCTCTACCTTCATTTTCTTTTCTCACTATCATGCTTGTTGCGCTTATACCCCAATATAGGCTAGAAATATACTTGTAAAATTTTCTGTATCCACAAACATTACTTGTTTGCCAGTTTCTTTATTATATTTCATCCAACTCCTGTAGCCACATTAGGTCTATTTAACTCACAAATTAAACTTCACTGTTTTCTTGAAGCAATATGTTAAATACCCCAACTGTCTTGTCATTGCTCTTCTACAGTCAGCACATCTATCAAAATCTAGCAGTAAACTTGCATTCAGGTTATCTTCTCTTGGAAAAGATATCCTATTATATACTATATTTTTACAGAAATAAAAGCTCATAGAGGAGCACAGACTGCTAAAACTGCAGTCTTAATTTCTTGGAGGTAATTTGCCAAATCGGTGCAGTTTAACAAATTAGAGTAAACAGCTGAAAATAGAAAAATAAATAAATACATATGGACAGTTGCCCAAACAGTTCCAGTACAAGTAGTAAATAACAGATGGAAAACACGTCCCCCATTCTTAGCGAATGACAATCTCTTCACACTATTGATGAGCAAATTTTACCTGCTCATATGAGGAATATTCCCTTTTATTTATTTTTTTTTTGGTAATAGACTAGAAGATTGCTATTTTAGTTCCATAAACGTAATCAGTAACTCTCAAAGTAGCTGCACATCTGCTTAATATACTAGTGTTCGGATTTCTTTTGTAGTATGGGAGAAGATTTGCTTTTAAAATAATTAGAAGAAAGGAGTATTTCACTTTTAGCACATCTCCAATGACCAGTTTTTGAAGCGACTGACAAAAGCAGAGTTGGTAACTAATTTGATTACACGGTGAACTACCAGAAACATCCAAGAGACCTGGTATCTGCAAGCAACACATGCTGCATGATTCTGGCCCTGAAACCATTCTATAAGTGTATATCTATTTGGAATCAAAAGGTGAAGTTAACTCTGGAGTGGTTATTGACTGCCAAACAGAGAATTCTTTCCAAAACCTGAAGAGAGCTCTCTTCATGAAACTTAAGAGGTATTTGACCAGAGACACCAAATGAGGGAAGAGCATCCAGGTTTAGATTTAAATATTTATATGCCTGTAATAGCATCATAGCCATTGGTTTTAGAAGACATACTTCATTTTATAAAATTATCCCTAGTGTGCCCCCTCCTAAGAAATTGGCAGCAACTTTGTAATATTCCTCTAATCTACTTTATCAATACATTTCAAAAATGTATTTGGAATTAAATACAAGGATTAAAAATAACCTTTTTGAGTTTTATTCTTTGGTTTTGGTTTAGTATCTTTACCCATGTTAACTCATTTGCACTGTAAAAGCCTGCTACATATAAATTATGGGATCATATTCACTGAGTATGTTGCAAGACAAAGGGAAGTCCTTTGTGTAATAGCAAAACTAAATCTGTGTCATAGAGAGGGAAAGAAGAATGAGTGAAATTTGATCTCACTGCAATATTAGTAGAAAACAGCTATTTGATGTCTCTTTAATCTCTCAGATCAGAGCTCCAAATTCATATAGATACATTGCCAAATTGAGGCCAACTGTCAAAAGTTGAAATTCAAATTACTTGAGTGGAGATGAAAATCACATTTAGCAACAAGCTGAATGTAACCCCTAATGCATTACTATTATACATCTATAAACAAGTTCTAAAAAGTCAAATGTGCAAATTCCATACATATTTATGTGTGAGCTCATATTTACTTTCTTCGCATACAAATGTATCTTTGCATACAAATGTATGCAAAGTGGAAAAAACATTTAAATGCAATAGTGTTAATATAGTATAATCAGCATAAAAATGTACTCATATACCTGTAATTATTGAAAACTTTCAGTCAAAAATTTCTGCAGCATGCTAGAAGCCATTAATAAATTTCAAAATGTTCCAAAGCAATGACAGTTAACATTGTAGTGCAAAAATACAGTGTGGAACAAGTACTACAAAGTGACCAATATAGAGGAGAAAAGACATACCTTGAAAGAAAGCTAAAAGGTAAACCTACCTTTTATAAAGAAGTATAGCTATAACAATACAGATGATAAACACCACTGCAAGAACTGGTCCAACAACCCAAATCAAGCCTTCTTCCTCGTCTGTAATTGGTTGGGGATCAAGATCCATTGACACAACAGGATCTGAATATGGGCTTGTTGCATACATGGTCTGGAGAAATAAAAATAGTTCTTAATCAGAAAGCAATGCATTAATATGTTAACTATCCCACATCTAAAATAAATGTATAGAGGGTAATGATGCAATGAGGACAGCAAACTGGAAATGCTATTTTTCTTGAAAGAAATACATAAACTTGCAAATTGAACAGTGTGTTGTTATTATAATTTTTATTTTGTGTTCCACATACTAGAAATGACCTGCGGACAAATCATGTAGCACAGTCCTCACAGAACACTTTGCAACCTAAGCAGAGAATGAAAAACTGAATAGGACACTGAGAAATATGGCCCACCAGTTACCAATTTTTGGGTTTTGTTTTAGTTTCATACTGGTTTAGCACTTTCTTCCTGCACAATATGAAAGGGTACTTGAGACATAACAAGACTGCTATAGATAAGAATAAAGGGGACTGAATGTAGGAGGTTTTCTGAAAAGGGTCTTGCAATGACAGTACTGTTTTTGACCAGTCAAAAACTGTCTGACAGAATATACCTACACAAGGTGAAGACAACTTGAACTTAAGACTGAAAAATGGGAGAATCCATTGTAGAATATAAAAGGAAGCTAAACACTCAGTGTTTCATAAGCATTAAACTAAAATTATGAACCAACAGAGGTTGTTGAAAATCTTTGGTTTACTACATGATGTAAAGCCAGCTGGCCTAGGATAAAACCCGTGATAAAGAGAATTCTTTTTTATTCTTGTCTGACCTGGGATGTTTCATCTGTGGCTGAGTGCAGAGTTAAAATTACAGACTGGAGAGGCTGAAGAGTCAGCCTGCTGAAACTGGATCATTTTAAGAAGTCTAAATTATAGTAAAGTCAGAAGTGCAAAATTGTTTGTACATATTTCTTGTTTGTGATAGTGTGTCTTCATCAGCATTAAACTAGGATTTGAACAACAGATCTTGCAAAAGACTTAAAAACTTGATTCCATGGTAGATCAGAAATGTCAGCTAAAACAGAATAAGATAACTGGGAGAAGAGATTAGCTTCCATTTATGTTTGCACCGCATTCTGAAAGATGCCCTAAGCCAGGACAAGTGTTATCAAAGGAGACATGTTTTTTTACACTTCATTTGGCCCTGTTTGGGCTCTGGGCTATGACAGTGTCTGGGTTTGAGACAGGATTAGGACTGGAAAAGCTGAGGCACTTACTTACTTAGTGTTACTGAGCTAGCACCCATGCCAACAATCTCCAGTTATATCATAGCATTTTACTACACCTGGCATCTGGCACCAAAACCTCCCTATATTTTGCGTCTATGATCATGGTCTGGAAATTGGGGAGTCTTCACGTTCCATTCCTGAGTCACCCAAGCAAACTGATTTTTTTTTTTCCCCTCAGGTTTAGTACTCTTAAGAAATAAAAAAGGTTCATTGCTCCGAGAAGAAACTCTTTGTATTTCCCCTCTTCCTTTGGAGTGGATGGCAAAAATGCCTGGAAAAAGATATAGAGGGATATTGAGGGTAACAGTGTAAACACTTACTACCTTTTCTTCAATAAATAGGATTTCACTTTCAATTTTAAACCATCTTGTATTAATGAAAAATTAAACTCATTTATTATTTTAAAATTTTATCTTATTTTTTCCTTCCTCTTGATGACATTCTTAACATATTTATAGATTTTAATCACAGCTCTCCAGCTCCCATTTTACTAAGTTAAACAAATTCAGACCTTCCCATGACCTTTTTTAATTCAAGCTCTCTATTCCACCAATCAAGAGAGAAATTTTGTGCTCTCTGAATAAGAAGCCTTCTGTAAAACGTAACATCTGAATATCAAGAAAAATATCCCTTTCAAGTTACATCTGTAGAACCTGTAATCCTAGAAGAAAATCAGCTATATATGCTGGAGCTGATACACTGGAGCATTGAAAGTCATTGAAAGCTGAATCTGACACCCCTAAATAATTCTTCACAGTCTGTGGCTACCTCATGCTACTCAAGCACATAAATGTCTCAGATGGCATGCTGAAGTATCTTATTGATAGCCTAAGTTCAGTAATGCCTTTTGAAGTCTTTCAAGAGCAGGACCCTATATACATTTTGCTATATGTGTCAGTTTACAAACCAGTTTCTTCCTGCTTTTTCATCCTGATTTCTAACAAAACAATACATTCAGGTCATTTATACCTTAATTAATATAAAAAACACATAAAGAAACTGCACTTTATATTGAAAAGATCCATTTTTTTACAGGTAATTTATGACATGCAGATTTATGGCCTCTAATTTATAGTAAAAAGCTGTCTACCTTCTCCAATCTGAACCTTTGTGATGCAACACCTTCAGAATTATCCGTCTATGCAGCCCATGTCAAAAAGTGAAAAGAGAACTTTTGATTTATGTTAGAGCTTGCAGGAGGCAAGCTTTATTTTCAAATGAAGCTAAAGTGTCTAAAAGTATTCAAAGTGGAACTACCTCCTCACTGCGCCTAAGTAGGCACATTCCTTTGACACCAAGAAAGCAAATGCGGCATTATACACCGCAAGCATTTGACTAGAATTCAGATTATTGGTGTTGGAGTTTCAAGTGATTGAATCTGCAAATGTACCTGTCAGGTTAAGCTACAAATTAGAAACATACTGTATTACACACTGTATGTTAAAATGCTAATGTGTATTGCATCTTTCAAAAGTCTTACATCTGTCTTTTTGTCTTCTTTTTTAATAAATTACATGCATTAGGTTAATTCATGCATAAAGGGATGTGACTACAAAATGAACTGTGTAAAGGGAAATGACAGCTCATTTTTTAGGTTTTTTTTGGGTTTTTTTGGTTTTTTTTTTTAGGAATTTTCCCTACTACTGAATTATTTTCTAACTTTCTAACAATTTACAGATAAAATTCTTATGGAATGACTGTAGCTAAAGAGGGTAGCTGTGCACGTGTCTAGTTCAATGGATCTTTTGCAAAAACCCTGTATATCCTATACCATTATTCAATGGTAGCATCAAAAGACAGCTTTTAAATTCTTTTAAATACATAGAGAAAGATGCTGCTGTAAAGATCATGTCTCAGAAGCTGTGTCCATGGTCGAAAATAATACACAATGTAATTTTCAAAGGATCATGACACAGCCAATAAAAGCTGACTCTTAGGTTTCAGTTATACACTGAAGTAATATACAAAGGTGCAAGCAGAACAAAAGAGTTCAAGGAATTAATGTGCATTGAGTAAGGAAACACTCACTTTAAAGATGCTCTGACATGTAATATTAAAACAAAGCTTTAAGGAAGTGGAATAAACGTTGAAAAAATGCTTCCGTGATTGTGTAAGGTAATTTAGATATTGAAAAACATGAACTAACTTACAGATTCTGAGTGCTCCATTACAGCCAATACAAAGAAGACATATTCTTGACCACTCTGCAGTTGCTTATTCTCAAATCCACCATAATGCTTCTTATCCCCCAATGTGAATTCCGTGGGAAGAACTTCAAAGTGAGCTGCAATATATGGCTTTAATTCAACTTCCCTCCCAAGACGAACGCTTCTGCGTTTCCTAGCTATCTCCTTAAGCAGCTTTAAAATGAAGGAAGGGAAAAGAAAGGGGGGGGAGAGAGAGAGCAAGCATGAACAGAACGACAACTGTAAACAATTTTAACGTAACTTATTGACAGTGTAATGAGAAAATTTAATGCATGACCACATTAAATTACTACTAAACTACAAAAAAACCAATTTATCCACATTTCATGGGATATATCAGTATCACTAAATCAATTGCAAAATCTTCCAAATTCTTGACATTCTTGTCAGGATAAAATACTAGGAGGCAATTGCAGCACTCAGACTACAAACATAAAACAATTTTTTAGATACTGTTGCATCTAGGAGGAGGGTGGGAGAGGATAAGAAAACAATCTATTTTCCCTGGGGACATATAAATACACATAACATATTACATATTATCTATCTATCTATCTATCTATCTATCTATCTATCTATCATCTACCTCTATACTGAGTCATAGAATAGAATCATAAATCAATTGCATTTGAAAGGGCCTCTAAGACTGATTCCAGCCACAGCCATTAACCTAACACTGACATGTCCACCCTTAAAGCATGTACCTAATTGCCAAAACTACACATCTTTTTGAATACCTCCAGGAACGGTGACTGAATCACTTTTTCTGATAAACAAAGCTAAAATTTACATCAGTACAAGATTAGATGCTAGGCTCAAACTTGGAAAACATACACTTACTACTAAAGGAACTTAATCTCAGCTAGTATAATCTGTTGATTAATTAGTTATTAAATCAGACAAATGCTTCTTCAATACCTTTTTTTGCTTTACATATACTGGTATTCCACAAAAATTAGTCTGATCTGATTACAAGGAGTCTGAACTTCTCCTATGTGATAAACTATGACTTCTAAGGTTTCTTTGTGATTCCCTTTGTTTTTTGCTTATGAAACTTACATGATGTCCTGTAGTCTTATAGTTAAATCACAAATTTTTCTAAGTAGTTTAGTCTTTTCAGCACACTAATGCTTCTAATACAGCAGATTAGCGCAAAATTTATTTCTAGAGAAGGAGAAGGAGACAAATCTCTGGAGTGAGAAGTAGATTAAGAAAAATGATACTAAAATCCAATCAACTACATCTATTAATTTCAAAGTACGTTTAGTCAGGGAAGTTCTCCACAGAATCATGGAATCACAGAATATGCCGAGTTGGAAGAGACCCTCAAGGATCACTGAGTCCAAGTCCTGGCTTGGCACAGGACAGTCCCAAGAGTCATTCCCTGTGCCTGAGAGCTCTGAACTCTACATGCTGGTGCTGTGACCACTTCCCTGGGGAGCTGTTCCAGTGCCCAGCCATCCTCTGGGTGAAGATTCTTTTCCTAATATCCATCCCAACCCTCCCCTAACAGAACTTCAGACCATTCCCTGGGGTCCTGTCTCTGGTCACCACTGAGTGAAGAGATGTGTGCCTGCCCCTCCACTTCCCCTCACAAGGAAGCAGAAACTGCAATGGAGTCTCTCCTCCGTCTCCTCCAGGCTGAATAAACCAAGTGATCTCAGCCACTCCACGTATGGCTTCCCCTCAAGGCCCTTCACCATCTTCAATGCACTCTTTATTTAGGCCATAGCTTGGTGACCACACCTTTTTGTCTCCCGTCATGGTATCTTGTATTTTGCAATTACACAATTAACAATTGCAATGCATGTAAAGCAACCTAATATTCACTCTGCTACTCAGAAAGGAGCGTTTAATACTGAATAATTTGATAACCCTTCTCACTGACTAAATTTAAGGTTACAGATACATATGAAAGCAAGTCGTGCCACTTGAATCCAGGCTTCCTCAACATTGCGGGCATTTGGATGTTATACCTTCAAACATCTATGCAGTAAACTGCTTTCTAGCTCTAATGCTGTGTCTGTGCCCTGTTGCAGAGATTTTACATCCATTTACCTCTATCAATTTCAATGCCATGACACAAAAGCTGGTACAGCGCAATGGATCCCCTGAGCAAAAAATGAACTGGTCATAATTTGAGACTAGAAATCATTATTCATTACTCAAGGACACCATTCCAATCAGCAGTCCATATTTCTCTTTCATTCTTCCTAAACAGTTTAATGAGCAGCTAGAGTCTATTTGCGTCGTATAAAAATGAGGGCAGCAGAGAACTGTAATATTGAAGAGATTTCTATTTAGTTACTTTATTGAAGGTGACTCTCACATCTGTTGGTAGCTTCCTATGCCCTGGGAAGAGTTACTAAATGCAGAACATGAGGCAGAGAACAATCAAAGTTTGTTCCAGGTTAGATCAGCCCTGATAGGATCTGCTGAGGGAAGCACTATGAAAAGTTTATCTCTGTATGCTGCCCCATTTTATAACAATGCCTATGCAGAGGGCTGAGCACAGGCTATCTGGAAGTCTGCCAAAACATGAAGCTAAGTGTTGGGGTAGTAACAGTGCACGCTAGCTTAAAGTCAGGAGCCACAAACACAACAGCTCTAGTAGAGGTGTACGGCTTGAGCTATCCCCGAGGGTAACTGATACTTCCATGCACATCTTCCACTGGAATTAAAGTTGTGCGTCTGCCTCAATTAAATTCATTGTTCTTTATCATATATTTCCAGATTACAGTGTATTTACAATTTAGATTATAAATAACTCATAATAAAATGTCAAAGTACGGTAGGAGTACAGCAATCAAAATTAGATTGAGAGGCAAAGAAAAATGTTTGATCTTGATATTTTCTTGCATTTGAAATAGTAACAGAAAACATACATATTGGAAGAAAATGGAATGATGAAGTATAGTATTAGAGTGATCAGGAACTGAGTTTCGGCAATGAATGCTAAAAGTTAGTTAGCCTGAGACAAATAAAATTAGTTAAACTTTTCAGAGGTGGTTATACATCACCTACGGCCAGTTAACTTAGGTGTGTTTGTGTGTAGATGAAAACTTTATAAGATTGATTACACATGACTGAGTAGATCTCAGGTGAACCTCCAGCCTCAGTAATGTTTCATATGGAAATGGAGTTGTTGCCAAGTATCATTACTTCTTCATCTATCTCCTATTGTAAACTATACACAGATTTCAATAAAATTACTGAATTCATTTAAGACTTAACATGGCAACCTTTATTTAGGTTTTACTGCTTACAGATCTAAAGTAATCCTAGTAGGTAATACTTACTGCAAATCATAATTTTTTTTTCTTTTCATTTGGTTGCATGATGTGTCTATTTAAAGTCACTGAACCTCATGATATTAAAAAAAAGAAATTTTGAGTTAGTAAAAAAGGACTGTATCTCTAATAATTTTTTTTTCAGATACCAAACATCTAGTTCATTATCTGCTACTTTAAAACTACCTTAGTTTCTTTCAGAGCTGAGGTTCAAGGAGCAGGTAGATTAGGCAACTACAGTAAGGCTGAAGAGTCTTTTTGGACTGCTCAGTTATGTAATGGAGTTATACTCAAGAGCTGCGTTGTTAGCAAATACTTTCCTTCTGACAATCTACGAAAACTATTTGGAACATAGTTCTTTGAAATATCTATTACCCAACCAATTCTGATACCAGACATATATCTGAGACCATACTAAAAATATAAATATGTATAAGTATCCTCACTTGATCATCAGGAACTATTTCCTCAGAGAGTAGTGGTTTTTTGAAGGAGTGGTTGTGTGGTTTTTTATTTTTTAGTTTGTTGGGGTTTTTTGTTGTTTTTTTTTTTTTTTTTGTTTGGTTGGGTTTTTTGGGGGGTGGTTTTGTTTTTTTTGGTTTTTTTGTTGTTGTTGTTGGCTTTTTGGGTTGTTTTTTGTGTGTGTGGTGTTCGTGTTGTCATTGTTATTATTTTTTTCCAAATGTATTTATTGTGGCACTGTGTTCACAAACTTGTCAGGAACAGCACACTTGATAAAACGCATACTTTCCAAAGCTGGAAGAAAACCAAACTTTTAAGTAATAGAACCTGAATGAGTTAGAATGATATGCAGTTGCTGGCTGCTTTTAATGTTTTCCTCTGCTCAACTCTTGCTATATGTATTGGTGGCAATTGTAAAAGATGTATCAAGGGATTCAGTTCTTTATCAGAAATAACTTCATTTTCCACTCAATGCATATCTTATTTCTTCCATCATTAATTCTACAATGTGGTCTCAATTATATCAATAGAGGTAGGAAACAATCCATCCTGACACAAATATTTCTGAATTAATAAATGTTCTTTATCAATCTGTTATACCGACTAAGGCAACACAACTTGCAGGATGATTAAAATGACCCTTTGTTATGCAAATCAGCAGGAACCATAGAATTTAATTGCCAGAAAGTTCAATGTCATCTGGCACCTATCCTTTCATCTATTAATGCTGCTGAATGTGACTACAGCCTTTGGATGTTAAAAGTGGGTGGTAATACTCAATCAGTTTCCATTACTGTATAGATGTGGCTGTCAGAGTTTTACTGTTTAACTGTATTTGATGTCACCTATGACTATGATCACGAGATGATGGCATTTACAGTCAAAGTTCTTTTAAAGGGAAGAAGTTAATAGATCAAAGTGAGGCATTGCTGCAACTGAAAGAAGAGAGACGATCACACAAATGAAACTGCTAAAGAAGAAACATAGGGGTGAATCAGTTAGCCATCATGCCTTCCTCTGAAAAGTTGTTTTTAATATTCTGATTAAGGATTTACCTGTTGTTGTGACAACGACTGAAATAATTCCATTTCTATTTCGAACACTTTCTACAACACTGTTAGTTTGGTGAAGATATTTATTTTCCCTATATTTTGGGGCAAAATTTGAAATTTATATCCATTTTGTCAATAGCAGGAGAGAAAAGAGCATTTATGCTTGCTCGCAGGTGATCAACACTTCCCAGTAACTGTGTTATGGAGAAGCATATGGTGAGGTTAGCTCTGTAACATAAATCTCTTGAATCCACCAAGAGAAAAATAAATTGATACAGTCAAAAGAACACTCTATCAGGAGTGAAAAAAACTGATTCTGGTCTTTCAATTGCAGACATATTACACGTACAAAGTACCACAGCATTTGAATGTTATCTAAAATCTTGGCCAGATACAACGAGAACAATAATAACATCATCACCTGCTTTTTATAAAAGTCTTTCATAGAGGGCCCTTGAAAGAGTTTTAAAATCACAAAAATTAGCATTACTACAGCTTTACAGACTGAAAGAAGAAGGACAAGTTTGCATAAGCTATAATGTCCTTCAGTAAAACAGAAAATGGGGGTGAATATTGTATTTCCTGTAATTATTACTATATCAATAATATACTGAATTGATTTCTAGCATCACTGGGCTTATTTCTAAAATGAAAGTAATTCCTCCCCTTGGATTAAGGTAATTTAAAGTTTCAGACAATCACACAATGTTGCTCTTTCCTTCCTTGTTCATGCATTTTTTTTTCTGATCACAAACTGTTGGTGGAATGGAGGCTGTGTCTCACTAGAAGTATTACAGTATATGACAATGGTGTAAAAACACCACCAGAAGGTCAAATGTTAAACTGAGGTGCAAATTGCAATTTAGCATTTGTTACAGACTTAGTAAACACCCCTGTAATGAACCAGACCTTTATTACTGTTCATATTGTTGGTGATTAAGCTTTTGCTGACAAGTCATTTCACCTCCTGCACTTTTGCATCACTCTTTACAATAGAAAAAGAGCAAAATATTAGTGTCAACAAATATAAGACACTGTGCTCTTTATTTCAACTTAATGTCTTTACTGTCTTCTCATTTAAGTAATCTGAATTTTTGTTTTAGTCTCCACAGGCTAACACAAATATAAAGTATCCTGGCAAAACTTTTTAAACTGGTGAGTTAATTACCTAAAAGTAGAAAGATTTCTTCTTTAATAAAGGAGAAGAAAAAACCCCAAACCATATACAGTACCTCATCTAATTCCATTTCATCTGGACTCTCCCATGGTTTGATAAACTTTCCACGAGACCTCTTCAAAGGCACAATAACTATGTAGTAGCCTCTGTAAATGACAAAGTTGGACAAAAGAGAAGGTGAATGACAAGGAACAGATAAATTGATGGAGTGGGTCTGTTCAGAGGAACTAAAGAGAAAAGTGGTATGTTGAGAATAAACTTCTGCACATTAATATGTCACTGCAGTCTTCCAAACATAGCTGTAAACGTTCACACTTTTGCAGTAACATCAGTTGTAAAGCATTTGACAAACAAATGGCACCAATTACCTGCCTTTTTGTGCAAACATATAAATATTTATAAAAAACTTTAATTACAATGTACTAAAATGCCAACATGAAATACAAGAACTATAGGTTATGTGTGCCCTGCCACCATCACACTGAAACAAAACCCCAAAGCCCTAAACTGAAATATATTACCATATATTTAAATCTCAATTACCAACCTATCTTCTCCCATTTAAATGTATAATCAAAATAGTAGGTTTAAAAAATTTATTTTTTAATGCCAATATCATAATAAAGAGAAAAGAAAGCAAAGAGGACATACACTGCACCCATACTCACTTTCCTTTTGACAATCAAATGCCATTAGCTCTATCTACATAAGTATCCTGTTCACAGTCATAGGTAAGAGAGCTTGATACATACTCTATATCTAGGATTTGCAAATTATATATATCAGTTTTGCTCAGAAATATTTTCATAATAATATTTTCTTCCTCCCCACCCATGGAGACTAGTAAATTATATTTTCTAGCGTGATGGAGATCTGCTACTTTTATTGCTTACTTCACGAAGCCTGCATACGTGTCAGGCAGATCCATAACTTCACTTTAACGTGAGGGAAGAAGCAGTGGAATCACAGCAGCAGGACATTCAGGGTGGTATATGTCTTCTTGATAAACACACATCACAAAGTCAAGCTCTCTCCATATCAGGGGAGAGGGAAAGAAAAATTTTGTTTGTTTCTAGTAACAAAAGCTTATTAAGGTGTTTCTAGGTCTCATTATGGAAGACAATTTTAGTGTCTCATGGGCCATCTCCTTTTCCAGTCTGCTTTTTTTTTTTACAACCCATTCAACCTTCTGCAAAACTATTAATTTCACTCATGAAATGCAGCTGAAAATCCTAAGTAATTAACAAAGAGTCTACAGAAAAGGAGCTGCCAAAATGCTGGCTCAAACCCATCTCAGTCTAAGCCAACACTAAACTATGATTTTTACCATACCATTGCAAGCCGTTGATCCATTTTAATGATCTCTTCTTATTTAAATATCTTTCCCATAAAAGAAATGTAACAAAACCATAGGTTTTAGAGTGTATGTGTATTTGCTAATACTTGTGTTAAGAAATTTGAGGAAATTTTCAGTGGAAATGCTAAGCTCCAACAGGAGCACTGGAAAGCAGTGTTGCCCATAGATTTTTAACTACTCTCCACTTGCTGTATTCCAGTATTTCAAAAAACATCTGTGGCATGCATCCTTATAGTGACGATATTATAAATAATCTTTTAAAAATATTAAAAACTGTAAGGCTGGTTGACCCCAGGTTTTAAACCTGCATTTGTCTATTAAAAATACTTTGAATTGTAAATCCTAGTAAACACTGACTGACATACCCTTTCTTTAACAGATGTCTAAGAATCAAGACATAAAGAAATGAAAACTTTCAAATATCAAAGACACATACTTATCCTCTTCTTTTTCTTCATCTTTTTATTTTTTAAGCTAACAGAGCATTCATACATTTTTCTTTTCAATCAAAGAACATCCAGCACATAATTGTAACTTTCCCGCTCTTTTTCACTTCCCTCATGAAAGTCTCCCTCTTGTAACTTTGAAAATCTAATAAGACTTCCAGCACACACAGAGTATTTTAAACTGAAAGAATAAGCGGATACATAGTAAGCACAAAAATGAAAATTTTCACACTAATATGCAGTGTTGCAAATTGTGAGGGATAATAAAGTTCTGTGATTTTCAGTGAATTGCACAAAATGTAGCATCTCCTGAAAAACATGTCTTATAGTTTACTTTGTTATTTTCTTGTTTGTTTTTAGGTTGGAGGTTTTCCTGGGAGAGAGGAGGGAGGAGGGTGAGAAATAAAGGGTTTATTTGGATCTTGTTCTATCTACTGAGTATTTGAGAGGCCAAAGTCTTCCACAAAACTCTGTTTTTACTTAAGACTTTTCAAAGATATAAGAGATTCGGAGAAACAAGAACTGTCCTTTACGCATAAAAATTGCTTTGGAAATAGCCCAAAATACTAAGAGAATGAAAAATTAAGAACTTGCTCCCTTGAGATGAGCAAAAGAGATCATTTTACTAATCATAAGGTGAGCTTTGCACCAATTTCTATCCTGTATCACCATCAAACGTTGATAAATAATACCTTCTTTAATTACAAATATTACAAATGCTTTTATAATATTACCCTCAATCTCATTACCTATTCTGCATTAGAGCAACCTATTACCTGTTTCACTTTGTGTGTAATTAGAATTATTCAAAAATTCTCAGTACTTCATTGTAAGCTAGGGACAATCCTCAGCATATAATGTACCAACAGAGGAGCAGCATGTCTAAAAATGTCAACATGACTAATACATGAAATTGTTCTTCCCATATAAAGACTAATGCAGAATAATCTTACTTATTTTATTGGGGCAAGCATCAGGTCAGGCTTACTGTTCAGTATGTACTTGCTTTGGTATGCTTGCTCCAAGGGTCAAGTCAATCTTTGTTGTTGTGTTTTACTTTATCAAGCCTGATCAATCTTAGAAAATAGATGCAAAAATAGGAGATACATTATTTGCAAAATTGGCAGTTGGACCCTATAGATTTAATATACCTTTTCTGATGTCGCTTAGCCTCTTTAACTTTTTTACACTATATAAAAAGAAGGGAATTGTCTTTTATTCCAGTGCTATCTTCTGCTGCTGTTAGATCAGCTATCCTGCACATTTTTCTCTCTGTGAATGCTCTGCCTCATAAATCTTTTTTGACTCATTCCATCTTCAGTCTTCCTTAGCTGCATTTGTTACTGACCGCATCTTACTCAATCTAATGATAATGACTACATTTTTCAGTTTTTCATCCTTTTAATGTTTCAAAGTCATTTATTTCTTGACCTTACCTGCCTCAAAATCTTCAGTCAGTAATGAAAAAGGGGGCAGCTTTCTAGAAAGCTGTAAAAATCCACCAGGGAGACAAAGTTGAATTCCCATCATTTAGTGACCAGCTCATTTTCCTCCCCATTTCCTTTACATTACATATGGGAACCTTACAGATCAACAAGAATCACTATAAGCAGAGCAATAACACTTATTGATTGTTTCATGCTTCATGTTTTCCTGGCAAATCTTTATTGTCTAACCTTTCTAATCCCTGCTGACCATGTGCTCTCAGATCTTTAGTCCTGTTTCTGTTTAAATTTCAACACCAACTGTTCCCTTCCAAAATCTATGTAACCTCTGGAAAACTTCCAACTTTTTTTAGCAAAATCTCGTTTTCATTCTGAGACCAGTGGAAAGGGCAAGTATTTTTATCCTGATAAAAACTATCAGAAATAATTAATCTGAATGAATTTATGTGCAGTATCAATTCTTTAAAACTCAATATAATTCTTGAATGACGGAGTCTGACTATATCAAGGAGCTACAGCAGGGTAGTTATGCATTGATGGGTATCTACTCTTTTTGAGATGATATACTGTTCAAAATATAACTGGTTTTCTGCATCCCTCATTTTGCAGTCCGTGATGAAACACAAAAGTACTGCAAGAAAAATCAGCAAACTGAAGAACAATCTGTCCTTATACAAGTCTTACATATGTGGCTATGAGACAAACTTAAGAGTTCTACTTGGAACTGACATACAGTGATCATCTGTTCCCATTACCTCATCCCTTCAGGGGTGACTAAAAGTTAAAACAAATTAGGGCTTCATCCAAATACCTCTTAAACACTGACATGCTTGGGACATTAACCACCTGACTAGGAAGCCTCTTCCAGGTTGAAAACACTCATAGTAAACAAATGCTTCCTAATACATCTAATGCAGCTCCCCTGATGCAGCTCTGAGGCATTGCCTCATGGTCTATAAATGGATCTCAGCAAGAAGAGATCAGCAGCTCCCTCTTCACTTCCCCCCCTCAGGAAGTTGCAGAGAGCAGGTCAGCCCTTAGCCTTCTGTTCTACAAACTAGACAAGCTCAAAAACCTTAGCAGCTCCTTACAGGACATTCCTTTCAGTCATCCCATCAGCTTTGTTGCCCCATGTTGAATGCACTCAAGGACCCTTACAACAAAATTTGACATTTGCTCTTAATTTTCATGCCACTCATGACTGCCCAGTGTTCCAATCTATCTGTATCCTTCTGTAAGGCCTCTTGCCCCTTGAGAGAGTCAACAGCACCTCCCAGTTTACTACATCAAACATTACACTGATATTAGGTCAAATACTACTGCAGAGCACTGTAGTCTCTGTACTGCTATAAAGAATAAAGCCATGGTTGAACATCAAGTTACAACGATCATCTCTCTGGAGCTAAAAACAATGGTATGTCATTGATTCACTCACTTTATATTCTCATTTGAGGGTACTTCTGGAAGTTCCACAGTTATCATGCCATCCAAGTTGGTCTTCCCAATGAAGACTGGCTTTGTGCGAAGCACGTCTGGGGCAGTCTTTGCGGTTACTCTGTGCTGAAGACCCCCAGCACTATTCCCTCTGTTTGTCAGGACAAATGAATATGATGTCTCTGGCTTCAAGTTTGTGATCAGCTTTTGAGTGGCACGTCCATCAACCTCCATTTTCCCATCATCATAAAGGATCTAAGTTAATAAACAAAAGTAGTTTTGGTTATTAGGAGAGGTCACACTGAATTCAGGAATCAACCTACCTATAAATTTAAATAATAAATAAATTTAAATTGATTGGGGTATTTTAGGGTGTAAAGGAGAACGGAATTCACTACCGAAACTAAGCTTCTCAATTTCAGGGGGAAAAAAAAGTACTACATTAATATAAAGCAATGTAAACACTCCTGAAGTCCAATTTCACTTTTTCAAAGTAAGCAGCTTTTCTTGAACCCAGAATTTATAGCAAGGTACTCTTGTTAAAAGTATCTTGATTGTTTCATTCACACTCCTTATTTAGAAAGGTTTTTGTACCATTTAGTTCCTAAAATACTGTCCTTCACTTGCCACTGCCTGAGATGACAAAAGTGATTAAGAATGAAGCAGAAGCAATTCCAGGCAAGACTGCATGTTACTCTGAGTATCTGTGTCTAGATAAAACTATAGCTAGTGGAGTAAAAGAATTGCAAATCAAAAACACGCTGTTGTACACTTAGGAGGCAAAACCCAAGGTGGTACTCTACTGCATTCTTTATTGAAAGGACTAGAAAAAAAGAAGAAAAAAATTATTTTGTTTCACTTTTTTTTAAATACTGTAGTGGTGAATGAAAAATTAGCCATCTTAGAAACAACAACACCCCCAATACATATTCACGATTCATGTTCAGTAAGCTAATTAATCAGGTAAGTACATTGTCTAGTGTCTGTCATTTTCTCTTGTACAAATGGAAAGTAACTTACTTTGAAAGGCAAAGCTGAATTGTAGTTTTCTGGAATTTCCCAGGACAGCAAAACAGAAGTCTTCATTACTGCTTTAACATGAAAATTTTTTGCAAACACTGCTGGAAAAAAAGAAACAATGTATATAAACAACATCTTGGAGCTTAGATCTTCTCATTTTTCCACTGTTCCTTGGGAGTATTAGGTCATTAGGTTTCCATTTAGGTCAAAAATCCCAAAGAATTCAATTCTCCTACCTGTTCGTTCATATTTAAGTATCACATTTAAACTCGTTCTCACTCTTATCCAGTGCAACTCAATACACACATTTTCCTTACCTCAAAATGTTGTGAAGAAGTTAGCCAGAACTTGCTTGGCAAGGGACAACTGTATTCTAAGGCATCCAAAACATATTAAGATTTACATACTTTACCTTTTGTGTTTGATGAACCTATTTTTATGAATGGGCCAGTCAGTTTTTTTTATACCTTCAAATACACTGATATCCAAAGACCGATACTCCTTTAAAGGTCAACGCCATAAGCAGACAAATCCTACCTTGATCCACGGGTAGTGTCCTGAACTGGACACTTGGACTATATGGACCCGGCCCTTTGCTTGTGTGGGCACGTACTTTTACATCATAAGTGGTATCTGGTTTTAGGCCAGAAAGTGTCATAGTGGTATCAGCAGGAACAACAGGGAGTTCAACTGGCTGGTAAGCAACATTGATATCTCTGTACAAGATGGTATACTTGGTGATAATGCCATTTCTTTCTGCCAAGAGTGGCATCTGCCAAGTTAATTGGACTGATGTAGAAGTAGAGCTTTCGGAGTGGAGATTTTGGGGAAATCCACTGGGAACCTCTTCAGGAACAGAAATCTCTTTAACCATCTCCTCCCCAAAGCCCACTTTATTTCTAGCTGAGAGCCTGAAGACATAAGAAGCTCCTTTGTGAATATCTGTGGCCGTGAAGTGATCTTCCTTCTCTGAGAACTCCATGGTCGTTAAGGTATCCATGTCTTTGCGGCCAAACTTGAGGCGATAACCCTGCAGCGGGCCAAAAGTTTCCACTGGAGGATGCCACTGAATTAGAGCCGTGTTCATCTGTGTGTGGCTTATCACAAGCCGAGGTTTGCCTGGAACTGTAGCACAATGTTATTTAAAGAGGATAGATATAAACACAAGTGCACCTACAATTCTTGAAGCTAGTTTTTTTTAGCAGGAATAGGGATATATTTACTATTTTGTCGCTCTCAGTTCCACATATTACTGTCCTAATGAAGAAATAGTATCTGGCTCCTGCACTATTTAGTAATACAGTATAAGGAACTGCAACAGTAGAGACATTTACTGCTTTTGTCTTCTTCCCTTACCATAATTTCTAAATACAGAGTTTATTCAGAGGCACAGGATCTAGGAACACAAATCAAGAAGTAAACTTCCAACAAACGTCTTATGAATGGTCCTGTCTCACAAATCCTTGTTTGCAAAAAAAAAAAAAAAAAAAAAAAAAAAGTACTGTCATAAGTTTTCATGTACTTAATTCAAGGCACAATTCCTGTAAATGGGAAAATAATTAGAGAAGAAGTAACAAGTTTCTAGATAAGTTAACATAACTTTATCATTAAGAGTAAAAATGTAGTAGAAGTCAGAAAGTCAAAACGAACTTGCCCTCAAAATTATTACTACACAGGATAGAACCCAGTCATTCTAGTTTCCATACATAGATCACTTCTGTCTCCACCCTTTCAGTGTGGAGAGGTAACACCCTTTGGAATTTAATATTTTACAGCATGGCTTATCACATATGATTTATTTTACAGCATGGTTTTTGTGCACATGAACTGGATTTCTTTTGAAGAAGGCCAAATTGGTAGCTTTTCTTAAACTATACACTACATTCAGTCACAAACTTAATTGGGACCCATTGGTCTAACTGGTGACTTGTCTTTCAGAGAAGTTCAGACTGGTATGAGTCCAGTGATATGGACATTGAGGAGGAATTGAACTGAGTCAGTCCAGAGAGGACAGAATCTTAATCAAGCAAGAAACACCATTATAGAATTTATATAGTGTACATTTTTGGAGTCCCAATATGAATTCTCATTTACTGGTTCTATTTAATTGATTAATTAATTTTAATTTAATCATATCCATTTGTATACACTTCTTTTTTATTTTCATCAATACCTCTATTTCAAAAAAGTCTTTTTCTATTATAGTGATTTATTTGGTAATGAAACATATACATAACTATTTAGAAATCTGGTGCTCATTCAGTGACAGGTCAAGAGACCAGAATAGTTTTGGGAGTAGTACTGCAATGACAACCCAGTCTTCAACAAAGACTAATTAGTTTCATCTGCATTCGAAGCCTTCCCATGTGAATGTAACTGCTGCACTGTGAGCTCTGGTTCCTGTATTTAAACACTTCAATAGATTTTATTACTTATCTTCAGTTCTCAGGCAGCCAGCAAATCAGATTGTTATTGTCAGAAGGTCTAACTACCATTGCATAAAGAATTAGGAATAAGGAGGGAAGAATAGCATGCCTTGAAGAAAATTCTGCATTTAGTCAGCTCTTTCCTCATTATGTCTGCCATAAGTCATGACATTTCTTCTAATTTCATGAGAATTATAGGTAGGTTTTATATAAATTTTCCAAATTTCTTTAGATTTAAATGTTGAGTTCACCTGGCAGCATTATTGTGGAATCTTGTGTTTTCCCACATTTTCTGCTGCATAAAGAATATCCCTCTGATTAGTTCTGACTTTTCCTCAATGATAACTGAAAGTCTTTATGGAACAAAGATAAGTCTGTGAAGGCCTTTTGCAGACCATATTTTCCTCTGCATTCTAACTATTACTGGCACAAAATAATAGTTTACCTAAAAAGAATAATACCCCTTCAGTTTTCTAGAGGAGAGATTATTGCAACATATAACTAAATTATTTTTGTAATAAATTGCCTTTTGTTTTTTTGTACTTGTGGCAGACTTCACAATTAGAATGACATTTTAACCTCTGAATAACTACAGAGAAAGGAAGAAACTAATACTTGCTTTGATCAGGGAACTAATAAAGTTTACTTATTCAATAAAATACCCTGTGACTATAATCGTAAATAACAATGGTCACTTTTTTTAATACTGTAAAGCCTATCTGATGTTGCAAAGCAGATAAATTTCTTTTTATTTCCAGACAGCTTTCAGTTAACATTTACTTTCAGTATGACTTACTTATGAACATTACAGTCTTTTAGGACAAATGACAGGATTCTGTGCAGTTGTACATACAGTTGTGTCACCAAACAGCTCTGTCTAGACATTTCTGATAATAATCTAAATTTTCCATGAGTGTAAAAGAAGTGAAATTGTCAATAAAATAAAATATATTCTCTGATCTAGTGAAATCCTCTTCCATTAGAAAATAGCAAGATATCTTTCATACACCCCTTTGCAAGAGATATTGCTGCAGCAATGGCTTGCCACCACTAGTACAAGCTCATGCAAACTGCCTTTGCCAAATTACTTGAAATAAGTGTTTTCTGTTAGCTGCTATAAAGCATACCACTGGCTTAATATAAGCTTTCATTTTCTAGCTGAAATCTGTATTTCAAGATTGCTGTCCAGTATGAAAGCAAAAGACAAGTAATGGACAAGCTATTGTCCTATGAGATTCTTCAACTACTGTGACACAGAAATAAAAGGTCTGATTAAAATGTTCATAAAAATTGTATGATATCACTGACTAGTAAGTCTTCATTTTTATCAAGGTGTGTTAATCATACATTTTTTAATTTCTGCCCCAAGTAATCTAGTAAGTGCTTTGATTTAAAAATGTTCAGTAACAGTTTTTGTTCCATCTGATTTTAACAGTGAGGAAAGGTAATTGAACATAAGACAAAAACACACTCTTGAATAAAAGTATCAGCTGTGTTCAGTGACTACACCAATAATTGAGTTACCATACTATAGGCTTACTTGGTGAATATTTCCTGCCTAAAAATGTAAATTATACTTTTGTATCACTAACTGGACAGTTGAAGAGTTACTTATTGTCTCACAGAATACTTTACTGATAGCTTCTCTAGGAAAAGTTCAAATATCTATTCTCCTTTCATATCTTTTATGGATATAATCTCAATCAATAAATCTCATTAAAACTTTAGAAGTTAGACTAGAAAGCAGATCCTTCATTTTATTTATTGTAGTATTCCAATAGCACCTTTCTAGGAAAAAAAATAATGGAGACTGAGGAGACTGCATTACAGACCTAGAGTCCTTTGATGTTAATGCATCCTTCCTTCCCTTGTATGATGCATGCTCACAGAGAGTGAGCAGGAAGCTCTTGGTACTGACTATAGTGAATGTCTCATTTTTCAAAAATCTGCATACAAATTTTTCTTACAAAAACAGCTCAAACACAGCAAGCTGTAACACAAAGTGAAGAGATTTCATACAATCTGGAATGTATGAAGAAGCAGAATGGTAACTAGCTCTTAATCCCAAGAACAAACATCACTTGTTCACAGGTTTAAGCAAATGACAAGAACAGTGCAATATGAATTACATTTACAGACATGCCCCTGATTCTCCATTGCTCTTCAATCAAGTTCATATGGGACATAGGATTTGTTCTGTTTTATTTAAGTAGAAGCATCAGAGTTCTTGGTAGAATGACACATGAACAGTCAACAAGGACTAAATGCAGTGAAATTTTAAGTTTTGCAAGCATACTTCCATAACCTATGTTTATGTCTAGGAACTAATAAAATCTCAATTTTTATAACTGTGTTAAACTGGGAATTTATATAACTGAATGAACTGGGAATTTAGCTTTAAAAGAGAGTAATGGATCAAGTGCCTTTTTTTCTTAAATCAAGTTCCAATACATGACAGAAATGGATATCACCTTTTTTCTCAGAGTATGAGAATTCAGGAAAGATAAGAAGTTAGAGAGTATGTTTCAGCAATAGCCAAGAGAAATAACTAGAATGTATTCTAAGACCTGAAACTAAGCACTGTGTATCTAGCTACCAAGACTGAGATTTTTCCAAGGAATCTAACAAGAAAAGCTTATAGATGGTTTTGATATTAATACTAGATGTGTCCTGCATTCAGTGATTGTTTTAAAAATTGAATCAATCACTATAAATATAAAAACCTTTTGAATTTTATCTATTAGCATAAACAATACGCTGTTATTCAGAGAACTTGTAATGGTGCTGCAAGTGACTGTAATAGAATGTCTTTAATGGCTGCACTAAAAAACCCGGAAAATGAACACAATACCTACAGATTGTGAACATCTGTAGGTAAGCATGACACTAAACCTGGGTTAAGCTGTGCCACAGAGACATATTAAAAAAAGAAAAAAAAAAATTGTTCCTCATATAAAAGCAGTTTGGTTCATGCCATCTGTGCTAACTGCTGTATTGGTTATGCAGTCAGGATATCCAGCCTTTGACACCACCTGAGACTGAACACAGTGGCAGAATGAATTCTGCCCCAGTTTGTTCCTAAAATTACCCCTGAATCAATATAGGCTTCAGGGTTTCACAGGATGGAGTTTCATTCTGTTTTCCAATTCTCTGCTTTAATAATTACATTCTTCTGAGATAAGTTGTGAATCTCATACAGATGGGTTCTTTCAATGTTTTTACTAACAGGCAGCAGTGCTGCTACTTTCACAAAGATCATGAAAGCCCTTTAAAAGGTTTTCAAATATCCTTCTGAGCTGAGGAAAAATTTAAATTTTTTCCTCTCAAAGAAGACATCAATTTTAGTGGAAGAGCTACTAAAAACTATAAAGTGACCTCATCAGGAACTAAGAAAGGGATAAAGGGAGTCATGGCTCTATTTTTATCTAAATAAATGAAGGTCCAAATACTGAAACAGAAAATCCTATGTCCTAGAAATACTTTTCACACAACAGGAGATGTTCAAAAAAAACAGTAGCAGAAAAAGCAAAGGATTCATTTAGAGCTCAATTTGTGTATAAGTATTACCTGCACCAGTAGTAGATACAAGTTTGGGTTTGCTGCGTGCTCCGTCACCTTTAGTTGTATAGGCTGTCACAGTGAAAGAGTATGTGGTTTCAGGCTGAAGCCCAGAAATTATCATTTCCTAAGATGCAAAAAAGTAAAATAAGAACAATTAATTTAAAGTAGATTGTTTTCCAGGAGAATGCAGAATCCTTTAGAAACCCATTTGTATCACACTTTTGAGCTATTGGCAGTAATAGCAAGCATGTGAATGCACCAACAGACTGTGCTGTGTGAAATACTTGATAATGCCAAACATCTCACTCTCTTAAGCAATAAAGGACAGCACACATCCAAACAGTATACCTCAGGTAGTTTAAAGCAAAAGGCCAAAGGCTCAGTGGCGTGAACAGCGAAAAAAGTTTTCCAAAATACCTTGCCTGAGGAATACTACTGACATTGTGAAACACATGCACATGCAGAAATGAGAAACTCAGCTTAACTTAATCATTAAGAGGATATCACAGGTATGGTTCTAAAATGCGTAGTAAGAGAAATGTGTGCATTTACACGCACACTTTTTAACTAATGATGGTTTAGCTGAACCATCAGCTAACCATCAACAAAAAAGCCTTGTTACTTCCATAACACTTTCACTGCAACCTGTGTCACTGGGTAGGCTGCACTGCTCAACACCTGAAAGGACTTCAGAAACAACTAGCCCTTCAGCTCTAAAAGAACTATGTAAAACACCACTAAAAATCTGGTCAGGGGATAGATCTGATGGCACTCAGATGACAGCAGCTACAAAACAATATCTCCTTAGCTAGAGCAAAGTAACAGCAACATCAAACTGTATATATGAGAGCAAGGGTGTATCTTTTCATATGTGTGTGCGCACACATGTATATGCACATGGAAGATGCTGAATGGTGCATGAGAAATGTACTAAACTTATGTCCTGCTACAGGGACTGCAAGAGAAGTAAGTTTTGACACTCATAATATAAATAAATCTTATATGTAAGTATAAAAGGACAGTATTTAAAGGTAACTGATGGGCCAGGAGTCTCCAGCTTCCAGTAGTCCAGTAACCATTGGACTACTCCTTTGGATGTTCATAGGGCTGAATGAACTTGCACCATATTTCAATGCTGCCAGAGGGATGGTGTATTTATACACCTAAATAAATAGCAAATGTGCAATCACACATCCCTCAGATGCAACAACCATGAAAAGTTAATATAAAAATCATGGGCCAGACTATTCATAGTATATGTATTTTTCAAGATAGTGGATATGAGCTTAGTAAGTACATGATTAGAATTCAGCATTGTATTTACAGTTAGTTATTAGCAATATAGAAATAATTAGGTAATGATCAGAATGAGTGGGCAAAATAGCTCAAGTAAAAAAAAAAACCAAAAACCCCAAAAAATAGAATGAAACAACACATAAAAATCTACTATCAAAAGATCAACTTCTTAGACTCTATCTCAGAATTTAATTGAACTGTAAGACCAAAATCAGTAAGAAAGACTTCATATTTTCATAAGAAAACTGCACCTGGTACTACCAAAATTAAACTGTAAAAGGCAAAAAAACCACCACAAAACCACAAACAGAAAGACTTATGAAGACATTACTTTCATCTAAAACAACCAGTACTTCATGGTGTAAGAGCTATGGCTGCATGTAATGTTTGAAAGTGTCGTTTGGATACAGCAAACGTTATTACTTAGGCATAAACAGTGCAGAGCATCTGGCTTTCCTGATAGCATGTATTTATTTTATACAAAAGAAAGCACAACTGACTTCTACTTTCAGTTAAACAAAAAAAATTTAATCTTAAAATGAATACAGAAAAATACAACTATTGGTATGTAACTCTGAACCGCTTCTATTTTATTTTTCTATCACCTTGTGAAGAAGAAACTGTGAGGCAAATTTAGTGACAGCCATCAAAGAGATGAAAACACAAATCAGTGCTGTACATTTTGGCATCATGCTAAACACCAGAACAGGCAAGCAACAGTGACCCTACTCTCCCTGGGGTAAAAAAAATAAACAACCAACAAAACAAAACAACAAAGAAAAAAGGTGTCATGAGAGAAAACCCTTGATGTTAGGAACATGCATTTGTGTAAATGTCAAAAAAGCACCCTGCAAAACAACAAAAAAAATAAACCCAAAGAAAGCACCCAAAAAACTCCATAACCAAAAACAAAACCATACAGTGCTACAAGCAAACAAGCAAGACAAAAAAAATCTCAACCAAAACACACAATGATTTTCTGCCCAGTCAAAAAGTACTTACATGTTCAGTAGTATCATCATATTCCCACTAATTTACAGTAAAGGAAGTCAAAAGGAAAAACAAAAGAAATAAGGAGATTTGTAGCCTGGTTGAGATAAAGTTTTCTTCTTTATAGTAAAATGAATATTAAAGGTGTTTGAAAAGTCATGTACAGTACGAATTATCCATGTAGAATCACATGAAATTTGGTTATGAAATCAGGCCAGGCATTTTTAATTCCATTTTAATTCCATTTCTGTTCTCCCTAAAATTCAGCTACTTCTCTTTCACTGACAAATAAAAGAAGTAATGAATCCTCTTGTACCATGTAGTACTATTTCACAATAGTTTTTTATTAAAAGTTACCAAGGAAGAATTAAGGGCTACCTGATTTATTTAAACAAGTTACCAGGCTATATACTTCCATTTCCTAAACTAATTCAATGCATTAAGTTTTGAAACCACACAGATATTTTACCATCTATGTCTTCATACCTGCACCACCCTTGTTCACATGTATCACAGAAGTACTACAGGCAGGAAGGAGTGGTGGGAAGAGAAAGGAGTTAACTATCATTCCTGAAACAGTGGCAAGTGGGCTGGTCAAAGCCATACTTGACAAAAGAAGAAATACAACTTTTGCCTTTATGATATTTGGACTGCAATATCTCATCTAGTCTCCAGTTAATGACCTTCTAGTGTTTAAAATCATTTTAATCCCCTACCAGAGAGAGGCTGAAAGAAACAATTTGCGAAAAGAAGAGAACCAAAGCACACCAGCATGTTCCTTCCCTTCCCACTTCCTGATCTACTTTCATCTTTGTCTCCACTGAATTTAAACCATAAGAACACCATGTTTTCCAAAATAAGAAAGTAAGTACTGGCAGCAAAGTCCTCCAGAAAACAGACACAGTATTTAGCAATTAGGGTCATAAGCAAAATGCAGATGTAAGAGACCTATTCTCCAAAGAGGTCTCTGCAAATCTGAAATCAGAACCAAAACTGAAGAAAAAAAAAGGCAACCCCCTATTTGTTTACCCATGTAAAATGCTTACAAAACAGATTTTACTCTTTGATTTAGGTTAATAATTTCTTTTTATTTCCAGTCAATCCAGTCATAAACTGTGAGCTAGCAGCGAGATGCGTAATGCATAACAGTTTCCCACAGGATGACCCCGTCAGTGTCAGGAGCTTTGTAAATCTTAATTTTTACATAGTGCTGGTATAACTCAATCAGTAAAATCCTAGTTTGAGAAGCTTTTTAAACTGGATGTTTTCATTATCTCATATTCTCATAATTTCTAAAATAGATGGGAAATTTTGCAATATAAATAACCACATACCTATTCAAACTAAGTTCCTCATTTTATTGAAGCTCCTGATATGAATAATGGAAAGTACAATACCTCAGTGGTTTCTAAAGTTACATTAAGAACATTAATTTATTGTGAACTGTGTAGTAAGGTGCGTACAGGAGAGAAAGAGAGATTCTCCATGCAATCAGAGAAACACTGTAATAACAGACTAACACAGCGTTAGGAGAGCCTAATGATCCTAGGCTCTCCACTGAAACACTGAAATAGGAGATGGGTGGATCAGGCCATGCACAGTTTACTACACTAACTCTGGATCAGATCACCCTGATGCTTTAGAACTTCAGAGGGGATGTTAAATCTCTTAAGGTTTAACGGAATCAGAACAATGACACAGCCTAGCATTTAGCTGCAGATCAACAGAGAAGAAAGTGTCTTGTTTTGGCCCAAGAACCTTTAAATGCAAGTATTCTGAAAAAAAAAAGTTTTGGAAATGGACACAGAAAACGCTGGCTGGTAGACTGTTCAGCAGAAAGAAAAAAGACCCTCAACAACGAAAGGCAACTCTTAGGCACACGAAATGTTTTCACTGTGACCCAGGGAAGAAGGGAGTGGCCCAGTTACCTGTGCATCCGCCAGCATGATGTCCTTCAGCATGGGCTGGCCCTTTGGCTCTCCGTTCTCCATCCTCACGTAGTGCACCTGGTAGCCTCGTATCTGGCCGTGCTGCTTATTGGGCACAGGCGAGCGCCACGACACTTTAACAGCAGTGGAGTTGACAGCCTCCACCTCGACTTTGCGAGGAGGACCACTAGGAACTGGAACAACATCATTGGACAGAAGAGAATTACAGCCACCTGTCCCACCCATGCCTGTTGCTTTTTTAAAGAAAGGGCAGACTCACTATGTTGTCTTTGAAGAATACAAATCATTCAGCAAATGAGGATGCTCAACAAATCTGCTCTACCTTTCAGTGAAAAGATCAAAAAACATGACTGATGCAAAAAATGGAAGAAAAAGGAGTATTAGAGAAATAGAAAAACATGTAAAAATGTACAAAAGCCAAGGAAGATGCTTTGAGATTCAAAGCATTATAGTACAAAGAGAGATTTTAATCATTGAAATAATAATACTATAATAATAACAAAACCACAAAAGATTAAAAAAAAAGTTGCCCTTTTTTTTGTTTTTCAAGTTCTATGTTTTATTTCGGTTTGTTTTTTCCTCAGGATAAAAAGGAGGCTGATTACAAGGCTGTCTTCTGTCACTTTCAAGAATGGAAGAAAAGAAAATGTGTGGAGCATCAGTTTTCCAAGATCAAAAAACAAAACCCAAAAAAACCAACAAAAAAACCACAACCCAAAAAAACCTCAAATCAAAAAGCACAATATGGAAGAAGAAAGCAGCTAAAAAAAAAACCAAAAACAAACAACCAAAAAAACAAGACCTGAAAAAAAGTTTATATACATAACTGTTTAAAAATGGCAATGACTGTAAAATCAAGGAAAAGGCAGGAAGTTTTTTCCCTAGGAGTTATTTTTCATTAAAGGAGGAGAGCAAGAAGGATACGTATGGGCTCAAAGGAGCAGCAGATTCATGTCACTTGCAAAAAAATTTTCTGATTAAAAAAATACAAAAACACCAAATAGAAAAATGGTGTAGAAAGAACAGTCTTTGAATAAAAAGCTGAAAGGGTGAAAATATCTGGTTATATTCGGGGAAAAAAAAAAAGAGCAGAAAAAATTACTGTTAGCCTATACAAAAGACAGCAGATGACAGAGTCATAGAGGTGCAAACTGATGTAGTGGAGGCAACATACCATCTTCATCTGTCCGAATCAATACAGCTAAGCTCTCTGGGCCAGGTCCAACATCAGTGTGAGCAGTCACAGAGATCCGGTACTCAGTCCACTTTTCCAGCTGTTCCAAAAGGTACTGGGTACTGTCCGAGGAAATTCCCAAAATTTCATGGGGCTTGACATCTTCTCCATCAATTCCAATGTACTTGATGGAATATGCAGTGATAATGCCGTTCTGTTTTTCCACCGGCGGAGGTTTCCAACTTACCAAAATGCTAGTGGAGCTGGGGCTTGTGCAACTAATGTCTTGAGGAGGAGCTGATGGCTCTAATTTCAGTAGTGGGTTAAAGGAGGATTTGAGTGGAAGGATAGAAGTGATTGAAAAAAATGAACAAAAAGAAAAAATAAAAATAAATAAAAGAGAACCAAATGAAAATAATAATTAAACAAAAAAAGTAGAAACTCAAAAAAGCAGAACGTCAGATAATCGTATGCGCCTTGGCTTATTAACATGAGGAAACTGAAAATGAACAGGTGAACTAAATGGTGAAAAAGGATGTAGGGGAAATATATGAAAATGAAGCCCCAAAATAATATTACCTACCTGTAATTAAAATTCTTCTTGAAATAAAACAAAAACGTGATACCTCTATGACTACTGATCTATCTTTACAATCCTTGCAATTAGTGCAAGCTATAACAATGTAAATAACATGTGACATGTATTTACTTACAAATTTTGACATCCCCTTCAAGTGGCTTTACTTTCCCCAAGACAGAAAATCTTTAACAGAGCTCCTAAAACTTGCAATAATTGCTAGAAATTGCTCCATAGGTTGCCATTTTGCAGCCTTTCCACTCTCATAAACAAATTACTACTTTTTTTGATTTTTTAATGAGTCTGCCTGACACAAGTTCAACCATAAATTACATTCAAATTGAAAGCATTTACTGAAACATTTATTGTAGCTAACATACTATGAGCATGCAGTCCATAGAAGATGACGAAAGTCTTAGTCAAAGATTTACCTACCAGGAAAAAGTGACAGGCTTGTTGATTCTGACTGTAACTTGTACTTACCCTAGATCAGCTCTCAGTTTTATTTTTTTAACTCCTCTTGGAGACACCTTTGCTAGCAAAGAATTAATCCTACCAGTAATGTATATTATTTCTACAGAAAAGAAAAAAATCTACCCTAAACAACACATAAAGAAAGCAGGCATTCATTTTACAAAGTGAGTTTATAAGCTTGACACCTCAGAATGTGAGTTTCTGACTTTGTTTCATCTCCTGTCAGCAACACCAGTTTTCCAGAGCAGAAATTTCACCTTTACTCATTTGTTTTGAAAGGAGTACGTTAGCGTATTTACCTTCCCCAAGCTTCAGAGCATCTAAGCATGCACGTCATTCTACTGCTTTCAGTGAGGCAAATATAGTACTGAAAGTTAGGTATGCATTTCTCTGCTTAAATGCACTTTGACTTACCAAAATCTATGCTTACTAACAGATCATTCAGAGCACCAAAAAAGGAGCCATAATTCAAACTCACTAGCAGAAGGAGGGGATGTGAACTCCTTTCCTATTTCTGCCTCCTGTCTTGTAAGAAAAATATACATGCTGTGTGCAAGTTCTTTTTTCCCTTTTACATCCCCCTCTCCACCTTTTCTTTCAGTTTCTTAAGGGAAAAAAGAAACAAACGGATACTTATACGTACTTACAATAGTCACATCAAACAAAATTAAAACAACAGAGAAGGCCTAGGACCCTGCTGTGACCTACTGCATTTACACATGTATCCTTCGGTTCCCTACAGTTCTTTCTACAGGGATCAATGGCTTTTTACTCAGTATGGTACACTGCTGCTCCAAAGGGAAGATAGGGGGGAATTTACTAGAATTTCAATTAAGTAGAGGAGGTGGAGGGAAGAGCAGATGAGAATTAACACATTTTGGGTTATTTTTATAGACTAATTCAGTACTCAGCTACTCAAAAGAAATGGATCCCCTTCTACCATTAACTTGTGCTGGAAGTGAAACACATGTAAAATGTCCCTTAAGAGTCTTACAAAAAAGAAATAAATCCCTGCAGCATCTCCCTCTGATACAAAGATGAAAGGCAGTGGCACACTCTGGTGAATATTGCTAATAAAATCACAGAAGTTTATTAATTTTTAATCCATTATACTCTGAAAATGCAAAATATTGCACTTATGTAACTGAGGCTAATTTGAAGGCTTACTTTAACCAGTTTTATTAACACATATATATTTTTCTTAACTGCACATTTTTAAAAAACAAATGTAATCTTTGCAGCAAATAACTTGGATCTGACCACTGAAATCAACTGGATTTTGCTACTATCTGAAGACACAAGGCTGAGATAAACATAACATATTCTTATATGCAAGAAGAGAAAACAGGAATGTGCTTATATAAGGAACACAGAGCCTTGGCTCCTAGATGTTTGTTTTGTATGCAGTCTAAGCAATCTTCACTCAATATAAGATAATGACCACTCTAAATGTTGAAATGGATCCCAGAATAAATATATACCTATTCTTTAATCAAATTATTCATTCTGAATTACTAAACTGAAAAATTGCCTTGCCACTATATCTAAAACTAACTTTGTGTTACATGTGCTTTTTTGTGCTTATTCCAAGTGCCTTAGAAATGCTTCAGAAACACATTTAGCTTTGCTTAAAGGTGAGTCGCACTGTGTCTCCAGTCACACTAATTGATATTAATACATAACACTAACAAGGAATGATAGTGCAATCACCTGTCATGACTGCAAATTAAAAAGACTAATGTCAACTGAGAAACTGAATTTTCTGTTTTGAATTATCTTACTTTAAGAACAGGCAATTTAATTTAAAACAAATACAAATAGCATTGTACTAAGTTTTTCAATGACACACTGTAATGCAAACTGTCAGGAAAACCTAACTTCTCAGGCAAGAATAATCCTTCTGGACATCATAGCTGATTGTTTTAGTTAAGTCTTAATTTAAATGGTTTAAGGTGAATATACAAGCTCCTGACAAATTTTTACATCCCAAGGTGGAAATGACTGAACATCATAAAAAGCCTAGATAAGGAAAATTTAACAAAATCAGAATAAGATACTACAGAAGAGTTGGTAAGAAATATCTGTTACAGTCTGAAGTATTCAACCTGATCCACTTTGCACTTTTTTGACACAAATGTTTGCACTTTAGGGAGATGCTGCAGAGACAACCTAAGAAGTGTGCACAGTAGGAAGGTGGAACTCTATTGGTTAAGGACTTCTATTAATGTACACCTACTGCATGATACAACATTTCACCTTATTATAAAATAAAATTTTCTTTATGCCAACATTATATTGCCTCCTTAGGCACAAGTTTATTTGGGTTGCTTTTTGAAACTATGTAAAAGCCACTCATATAAAAAGTTGATACACCTCAGAACTTCATATTTTAAGTATTCTTTTACTGTATCAAGCAACATGAATATCATATTTTGCTTTTTTCTCTGTTTCTGTCTACCTGGGCTACTGAGATTAATAAAAACAAAGAGAATAAATATTTAAAGGAAAGACACCTACTTGACTGCATGGTTCTGGCTGAGATTTCTGCTGTTGAGGCACCCAGGCCTTGAGGAGACCGTGCAGCTAGGCGGAACAAGTACAGGCTGTTTGGCCTTAAGCCTTGCAGGCGATACGATGTAGTAGGTTCAGTGGAAACCCGTTGCTAAATGTAGATTATAAGGGAATGTCTTGGTTAGTATTCAGAGACACTGATTTCCCTATGTTGCCTGTATGGTTTTGTACTGGGATAAAACCACAGAGGAAAAATAAAATTCAAGAAAATAAAGCAGATCAAAACCAAACTAAACAAAACCGAAACAGAACATTTTCTGCTGTTTACACACTTTAAGTCTGTCACCAGGCTAACTGCTCAGCTTAACAAACCTAAATATCAAGGCATTGTCACTGAAATAAGTTACTAAAATATGAAATTTAAACCATTGCCGTATTTTATGTCCAACTTATTAAGGATGACTTAAAAGATGTACAATCTTGCCACTTACTTCCTCCCCATGCTCTCCATCTTTGTAAACCAGTTCATAGCTGGAAATGGTATCAGACCGTGGAGGTGTCCAGGAAAGCAGTATGCTCGTTTCAGACTCAGGTTCTGCTTTGAAGTTCAATGGTTGACCAGGTACTAAAGAAAAGTTGAGCAGTGTTGCCAATTATTTACTTGGATACTTCAATATTTTCAGATGTTTTAAAACGTTATCGGAATATGGCATGCAATATCAATTTTATTTATCTTATTGAACTTAAGCAAATGTATTCACAGAACTATGAAACAAAATTATCTAAGCACAGAAAAAGTAAAATGATACATTTAATTCACCTGTTAAAAATTATCAAGGATTTCAAACAAACAAACTGAAATATAATTGAAGAGATGTCTGGTGATGAATACCACCAATCTAATAACCTATATGTGAAATGGCAAATATATACATCTATATATATGTGCTGTATGAGAAAAAGCTAATACAACACATGATTAGCTGAAATAGTCTAGAATAAAGTGTTAAAACTCTTACACGCATTTCCAGACATTACATTTTTTTTCTCAGCTCATAAATGAAAGATAGTAAACACATCCTGATCTTTAAGATGATATCCACATAAAAAACCCAGCTTGTTTAACCTGAAGTAGTTATAACCTAGTGAAGAGACATTCAGCTAATTTCTCATGAAGTGAAGTATTTCCACCCTTAATGACTGGTATATTTAAGAATAGAGTGACAACACTTTCTAGTTGCAAAAAGCATAATGCACTTTTGACTGCACTAGTCAATAACATTCTCTGTGGCTGTATCTTGTGCAATGGTCACAGGAATTATCCACACTAAATGTTATCCTAATTTGTTTCTTCAAATGTGAAGCAAATTATAAGGTTGACTATGAAAAGGCAGGAAAACATACTATATCATTGGATTGTGTACAGTAGTTTTGGCACCCAAGTTCTAAAACATTACTTCCAATTAATAATGCCATTGATAAGGCATGAAACAGTTTTCCACAGCATTTCTAGCTGTTCAAGAATAAAATGTGAGATGCTCTCATTTTTTCAGGGGAAAAATAAATAGATGTACTTCTTATAACACACTGAGAACAGGTGTAAGAAGTAGGATGTGACAATAATGATGGTTACACAAACATTTATCAGAATTCTAAGACAGCATTACAAGTATGTTCTTTTAGTACAGTAAAAGACCTAAAAACTTCAGAGAGTTAACTGTTAAAATAATTTGGTATTTTCATTTTTATCTTCCCCAGACTTCTACAGAATACCAATTTGAGGAGAACACTGCCCTTGGGTATTCTGGTGCAGATTTGATATCTAGCTCTCAACAAATAGAACCTTTATACATGAGGTGCATATTCTTCCAGCTCATGAATGGACTTTATTAATGAATGAGAGAGAGTAAAAGGAGACCAACTCTTTTACAGGAATAAAAAGGGACAGGACTAATTAGATATTTTTCTAAAAGGTGTCTGGTCTCAAAAGAGAACACTACCTGGGTCCTGCAAAGTGCAAAGAGGAAATGATCCCAAAGCATGGGGAGCCATTAGAGGAGACATCAACTAAGTGTTTGTGACAGATTCTAATTTTGCAAGGACAGGCTGCAGGGCTGGCAATGGTCCAGCTGGGAGAATGGACGGCTCTCAACAGCACTCCCAGCAGTGACAGAAGGAGTGGAAGAGATGTAGCCAGGCTCTTCACAGAGTGTGGCAGGTGAGAGGCAGCGGCACAAGCTGAAAACATGTGAGGCTCAGGAAAATGCAGAAACACAGCCAGGGCCTAAGGAGGTTGGACCATACCAGCCGTGGGACGTTTTACACATCAAGTGGGTGAAGCCCAAAGAAGCTCAGTCTGACCCCAGAGCTGAGCCTGCTCTGGGCAGTGGCTGTGGCTGGACACCTCCTCAGATAATCATCCTGCCAGCCTGATTGTCCTGTAATGCTATGATCTATGCTTAATGTATGGACACATGAATTGTAGAACACAGCCAGGCAGTAATAGTAAATGATCAGTCAAGTGACTCATATGAAAGCTGGTACCATCTGTTGTGATAAATATGGCAGCAGATGGAGAACTAAGGGTATTTCCTGACTCTCTACATGTTTTAAGACCCTCACTCTCCAAGTATTCCTTTTAGAAAAGCTCAAACCCTTTGTCATCTTGGGTCTGCAATTCTCAATCATTTTATAATACAAGCTGACTGGACTTTTCCAAATGCTGTTTGTCAAAATAATATCTTGCTTTCAAATTTAATCTCCCCTTGGATTTTTTAACCACAGTTAAGACAACTCTGATGCTGTAAACACTGACAGAAGAAAAAGGTGACAGGGAAGTCTGCATTGCTCCAAACAGATAAGAGAAGATGACAAAGAAAGAAAACAAAACCAAAATAACAGAAACTAAACACACCTTATTGCCAATAAGCTCTGGTATGAACCCAGTACCAAAGTAAAACTCAATGAGTTCAATAAGAAACCAGCTTTGCAAAGGATGATAGATTGATCAAGAGAATTTGCAATCAGTAGGGAACCTAAAGGGACCAAGAGTTTAGGCTTCTGATTTCTCTGAAAGAAACATAAAACTCTACAGAGGAACTCTTACAACTGAAGACCCACTGTGCTCCAGAGTTTTTGCTTTGTAAACAATATACATATTTTTTGAAAAACAAGTCCTAATAGAATATAATTAAAAAATAAAATGGCTAACATACAAAATAAAAAGTGCACTGTGTAACATACAAAATAATATGTGCACTGTGTTCTCCCTGTCTCTGCTACAACTGAAATAATCTCTTCTAATGAGTCTGAAGATACCTGAGGTTTGCAGTATCAAACAAAAAACCACAGCACTCAAAATAATTAACTACTATACATTTCAGATTTTAAAAAAGCACAGTATATTATCTGAAAAATAGTCAGAAATCCATAAATCACTTTTTTCAAATATTATCTCTAACTGACATAGTGGGAGCCCTGAGAATAAAAAAAAGTGTCAGAGAGTCTTAAAGACAGAGTCCACCTGGTCCTGTCTGAATGACTAAAGAACACAGTGAAGAGATAAATTATCAGTGTGTGAAGCTAAGATTCTCATTACTGAACTCATCTTGTTAGCGTTTAAATGAAGTAAAATAGAGACTACAACACTTAACAAAAGTTACCTGTGCATTGATAGTAGGGGAGTTATTCAAAAGCTGAAACAGTCTTTTCTACCTGACCAGAAACGTCCCTTGAGAGAAAAAATGTCCCTTGAGGGAAGTTTTAAAATATAAGTCAGTTGAAAAGCTATCCTATACCCCACCTCAGCATCAATATATGTAGGTATCTCAAAGGGGGATGCCACAAGGATGAGGGCAGATTCTTTCCAGTGGTGCCCACAGAGAGGATGATGAAGTGGCCATATATTAAACCACATGAAATTTCTCCTCAACCTGAGGAAGAGCTTCTTTATATAGAGGGTGGCAGAGCACTGGAACAGGCTGCCCAGGCAGGTTGTGGTGTTTCCCTCTCTGGAGACACTCAAAACCCACCTGGCCATGTTCCTCTGTCACCTGCTCCAGGTGACCCTACCTTGGCAGAGGAGTTGGACTGGACGATCTCCAGGGGTTCCTTTCAAGCCTAAATTTCTCCCACCTGCTTTCTTGCTTTCTGAGTTTCTAGGTACATGCTCTCAACTCTTTTCATGTGGAAGTCCATTTCATGAAATGCTGCAAAAGACAGCAGGCTAGGACTATGGGGTTTCAGAGACATCAGGTCTCCCCATCCACGTGCTCATGAAAAAAAAATTAAATATCTGGTAAAGTCGCTAGCTTACTACAACACTACTTCAGAACAGTACTTCCTTGCTACCAACTCCTTCTCTGAACTTCTAATCTTCTTTTACCACAAGAACTCCAGAAACATTAATTTTGTTGAATCTAAGGCTCCATTTATGTGCTCTGCAAGTCAGATACTTGGGCTTCTCATTACTGTCCTTCTTCCTATGTTCAGAGCATTACCCTTTAATAATTATAATAAACCTCAGTTTTCAAATAATGGAGAATCCTTCACTTAAAACTAATATGTTTTGTGTTTTAAATTTTTTCCACTGAAACATATGCTAACAGGTACACATTCACTTCCTTGAATATTTATTAATTTTTTTACCTAGCTCTTTTTCCAGTAATTCACTATCCAATAGACCTTGTGTACTCTCTCCTGTCTTTCTATCTAAGCTCAGAAGAAAAACAAGATTCACTTAATTCCTTTACTAGCTCTCCTCTCTTTGCAGGTTAAAATTAAATGAATACCCAAACTGAGACAGTTCAAAACTCTAAATTTTCTTGGTACACACAGAATAAATGATGTTTCCTACAACCAGTTTAAGCCCAGAAAGGGTCACGAAAAGTGCGTCCTGAGCAGCTAAACTGGATGCAAACAAATTTTGTTTTCTAACAAAGTAAAAAAAACAAAAACAGGAACAAGACCAAAACCAAGAACAAGAACAGGAACAAGAACAGAAACAAAAACAAAACCAAAAGAAGTATCACCCTAAAACTTATATCAATCTTCCTTTATTCTAAAATTTGGTAAGTCAATTAACCTACGTAACAGACCAGTCCTGACTCCAACCTGAAGAGATTTTAATCCTTTGGCCCAAAATGTGGAGTAAAGGTTTTCCTAAATTTTGGAATTGGTTTCCTTTTACTCAAAAGGCTCAGCTCCACAGCTCTTTTCTGATTACAGAATCTGTTAAAATTGGGTCTTTTTACCATAAAGAAAGCACTGCTGAAAACAACTGGCAATATGACATGGCTTTGCCTTCAAATGCTTAAGAAAAATACTGAACACCACAACTGAAATTTTTGGGGGTTTTTTTCAGTGTCTGGTTGTCTGAAAAATATATCCTTCACTTCCCTTCAAACTACATGCTCCCAGCCAATATTTTAATTAAAAATCTAAATTTCACTACCAGCAGAGTTTCAGCTGATCTGCAAAGAAAGAAGCCATTCATACACCCATTTCAAAAGAGTAATTCTGCTATAATAAAAAAATAAAAATTCCTCTGAACACTATTTTTAAGGGCAAATTAGTCATTTTTATAATCTCTCTCCAAAGAGAAGGAAGGAAAACTCTGACCCATCTAATAGAGCCTGTAAGTCACACTTGTCAGCAAGATTTTCTTTTATATATGCTCTAATACCCCCAAATTGAGGGTTAAGCTAAATATGTATATAATGGCAGGCTTATTTGTTTAAAATAAAATCAACCAAATGTAATCAGCATCCCATTCCTACCTTAACTCTTTTAAAATGTTTCCATTAAATCCATTTTCCCTGACCTTAGATGACACTTTATATTCGCTTTAATATTTGGAATGTGTTTAATCCTGAGAGATTTTAACTAAAACAATCATATTCAGATGTACATAAAAGCAAATTGGAAGAGAAGGACAAGGAGGGCTTTTTTTCTATGATGTTCGCTGAAGAGAAAATACTGGACAGAGAGATGGGCAAATCCTAGCTTTTAATCATACCCTGAACTGGAAAAGTTCACTAGACTTTTGTATTTTCTACCTCTTTTAAGACTTAAAACAGCTGTATTTCAAATAAAAGTATCAGTGCTTAAATATGCTTCCTGTGTGCCCCATTCTTTGTTTTATTTCAATTTCTTTGATATAGTCACAATTAAACATTGAAATAATGTACTGAGAAACACTCCAGCACTGTTAATGTTGTTGTAATTTCTTTAGATTGCAACAGTAATCAGAAACAGATGGACATGCTTACTTCTCTGAAGTGACCTCAGAAAGTAATGTAACTTGGGCCAGTCCAGCTGAGCCTCAGTGGTCATTACTTTGATTCCTTCATCCCTCACTGAGGAAGCCACTGTCAGACACTTGCTAATCTAAGAGGTTTGCAGCTGAGAGTGAAAACACAGATAAGGAGCTCACTAAACCTTCTTCTGGAAAAGCCTCATGAATGTGGATTCAATCAGAAGTCAGATGTCAATATAAAAACTAGCTCTCTGAAAATGGTTGCAAATGCCAAAAGTAAACTGTGGTGTATATATTGACAATTGCATGTGCAAATTCTGTAACTTTGTAGCTTAGCTGAGATACTGCAAAGGGTAACATATAGATCTTTGTGCAACACAACGCCTAGAATGATTCCAGGACAATACATCAATTTCTCTCTTTATTAAATGCATGTTGGTAAAATGCAGAAGTAGAAAGTGGATGAAACATAACTGTCTACAGTTATACTTTAGAGATCTGTTTTTAAGAATTGGAGGGATGCTAAATTCTGCAACAGGAAACTTTCCTGTACTAAAAAATTCAAGTACTATTATATATTTCTAGGAAATCACTGACCCACAGTAGTACTTCATACAGCCTTCTCTAAACTGCTAGACAAAAGGACTTTTTATTTCTTATTGCTACAATAAAACACTTTGTGCAGTGTAACTCTACCAGAGCTTCTCACTTTAGATTTCATAAAAACTTTTCTGCCACGTTTTTTACTGTGCTTGCTTGTCCTTTACTAGTAAAACTAATTCATGGACCTAAAAGTTCTTGAACAGAAACAAAACAACCTAACTGCAAACATAAACCAAGAAAATAGTGACCCTGTGGTATGCATTTTGTTGGGGCAGCTTTGATTTGACTTATAAATCCAAAGTGTACAAACCTACTTGCTTGAACGTACACAAAGATTTGTTGTATTTATTGCTCTTGTGTTTTCTGTGTTCTCAGAATCTTTACCAACTATTTGAATACATATGCAGTGCACATACATTTTAAATTCCCAAAAGCAACATTCCCTAGAGTGATTCGGCATAGGAGAACCGCATGTCGCCTAGAGAAAACCCACCAAAACCCACAACTAACATCTCAAAAAAAGCTATGAATAATTACTGAGAAGTAGGTTTAGTGCACAGAGCATTGCCAAACAAAAGCCATAAGATTTGGCCACCCCCAGAATGAAGGTCTTCCTGACATTTCAGTTGCACTGCAGATAAAGTTCTTGACATTGATGAAAAAAGAAAGCATGATGGGGTAATTTCCACTCTGCAAAGATAACCTGCACTGTGGAATTGAGAAAAGTTATCTGCAAAAACTGCCTGAGTAAACTGGCTACACCTGGGGGGTAGTTTTTTTGCAACATTTTAAACTGAAAGTCTCTCACAAATTTTGCTCATTGCTAGCTTACCTCCTGTTTGAGTGATGACTTGAATGTCACTAGAAAGTGGTCCATCCCCAACAGAAGTAAAAGCAAGAACCTTCACAGAGTATGTTTTCTGGGGTACCAGATTCCCAATAGTGGTAATATGGCTGTCAGCCACATTGTGCTTCATCCAACTGTTGACATGTTGAGTGGGGTCCATGGTGTAATAAACTCTGTAACCTTGAATTTGCCCATTAGGTTCCTCGGGCTCTTCCCACTGTACCAGAATGGTGGTGGAGCTCAGCATACGGGCCTGTACACTGCGTGGAGCACTTGAAGGTGCTTGCTCTGAAGTCCTTGTTGACACCGGCTCGCTGGGGGGCCCTCGCCCAATGTTATTTACAGCAACTACCCGAAATTCGTACTCTGAATATGGGCTTAGGCCAGCCACGCTGTAACGTGTTGTGGCCACCCCATCAATTTCTTTATATGGCTCCTCTGAGTTTTTGGGTTTGTGTTGGATTATGTAGTACGAAACTGGCTCAGGGTTTCCAGAATCCCAAGTCAACGTTATGCTAGTTGCTGTGCTTTCTGTCACCACAGGTGTTCCAGGAGGTTTGGGTAAGGCTAAATACACATAACAAAAAATACAGTTAGCACTATGTAACAGTAGACATTCTTTATTAGAATAAAAAAAGCTTACAAACAGTAACTAAGAACAAAACAAAAATAAGCGGAAAGACAAAACGGAAAGAAAGAGTAATCTGTTCAGAGCAAGCTTTTGTTAATTATGATTTCCTCCAAAATCTATTGGAAAATCTTCACGTTCTGTCCAATGCAGTTAATTTGTCATGAATTAATGATACTGACTTTTGTAATAAATCCATAACCATATCCAGAAGAGGAATCTTATAGAAAGGCAATTCACAATTACAACTGAATTTTCAGATATTTTTTGAACCTCTTGTTTTCAATTACTCAGTGAATATGATACTTGGACACCCAGCAATTCTAAAAATCAAATGATTGGTTCTCAAAGGTTCCTGCTGTTGATAAGAAACACAACATTTCAAGATAATTTCTTTAACTGAAATGAAGGCTGGGAGCTAGACACAGAGAGTAATGCAAAATTATGACTAACTTATTTTAATAAATATTAATTATTCAATTAGTGATTATTACTGCTGTCTGAACCTGTATTTTGTCTTATGTTAGTGAGTGGTTAGAAGATTTACCCTCTTGATTTAAGAGGGCAAATGGCATTTAGACCTTTCAGTGTAATATGTTTGCTCAGAAGGAATGAAACAAAAGACAGAACTGTGTCCAAATAAATGTGCTTGAGATATACCTTTGACAGTTATCTGCGCTATTGCTTCTATAACACCAAGGGTAGACATAGCAACGCAAGTATAGTTTGCAGACTGTCTGACATCATTAAGCTCAAGGACGTTTCTCCCTATAGGCATATCATCCTCAGGTGTCAAATCTTCTGCTCCTAGCATCCATTTCACATATGGCATTGGTGATCCCACCGCAACACAGGTGATATTTACACTCCCGCCAGGCATGATCTCATGATTTGTTGGGGGTATAGAGAACCTCGGTGGGACCCTTCGAACTGGAACAAAACACAAAAAAAAGGTAATAACATATACAAAAAAGGAAACTGAGTCTTGCATAAGGACAGCATGCAGTGTACAGACACAATTTATTATTTTAGCATTTATTCCAGTCTGCCAGAAAATATATATAAGAGAAATAAGAGACTAAACAAGAATTTTGTCTGCACACAGTATGATTTATTCTGTATTTATTTGAGGATATTATTAGGCACATTCATACAAAGGCTGATTCAGACCTGCTAGGGCCCCACATGTAACTAACTACATACTAACAATACACAAACACCATGCAAAAGATATACACGCACACGTGCACGCACACACACAAGCGCACATATATATATGCATTTTTTTATGCCGATACATATATATATGCACAGAAGAAAACTGGAAGGTCAACAGCATGCTTGAGTTGATCACCAACTTCAATGCTGCATGCTTCCAGTTGATGTGAATAAATGTGCTACGCCACATCGTCACATCACAGTCCTGGAACACACTGCCTAGAATAAATTGAAAGTGCAATTTCATTTGCTTTCAGACTCAAAGTAGATGCAGCCTCAAGACCTCACACTAACACTGAAACAAACATAGAAAAAATATAGAATTGCGCACAGATTCAAATATATATATATATACACACACATATGTATACATATATACAAATGTATATAAATATACATATACATATACATATATATATATATATTGAGAGAGAGAGACAGATAGAAAAAGAGACAGAGTCACAGAAAGAAAGTAGGCAAAGCCAGTACAAAGTACTGGATTTGGTCATGCAGGCAAGCAAATGACAGAAACTGTAGAGAATCATGCTTAGGGAAATGTCTGAGTAAAAACTGCAGAGAGAAAACAACACAAAAAACCTATTGGGTGAGGAAAAGAAACTTGAAAGCGATGGAAATAGGATAGGCTGACAGATACAGGAGTTTAAGAGGAGCATAGCATTTGAGGGAGAAGGAACTTAGATTAAATTTAGGTGGTTAAAAAGCACCTGCTAGGAAGAGCAACTGGGGAAATAGGAGAATATTTAACATTCAGGATTCCACTATGCTCACAGTTTAGGGAAAGCAAAATAAGGATTAATAATATTAGACATTTCTGTATTGATAGAAAGGGGTGGCAACCTTAAACACATAGCAGGACATTTCACTAACAGAGTAGTTAATATTTAAACAAACACAACACCGAGAAAATTACCAGGCAATAACAGATCAGTGTTCCTGCTTCAAATATTCTCAGTGGTGTGCACATGTGTGTAGGAGGTGGAAGTGACAGAGGTAGCTGAGAGAGGTAGGCTTGTATTTAGGCCTTTCATTGGATGGTGTACTCGAAACTGTATTTATTTGGCCTTAATAGAGGCTAATCATTAAACACAGTTTTAATTCAGCAAAAAAGTTAGAATTAAAATAAGACTATAAGTGAGTTTGAAAACAAAAAAAAAAACCAAAAAATCAACAGGAAAACTATATTAATCTGAAACCTTTCCTCCAGGCTTGATTAAATTTCCGTGATCCTCTATGGATTCAGAAGGGGCTTACTGCAATGGCCTCATGAGTGAATGACAGGCAGAAGGGGAACAAGCAGAGAGCAAAACATCTGTAAACGGCCAGTTCACAGAGGCCACACAAAGCAAACAGCAAGCAATGAGCAACTTCTTGTATTGCACAAAATCCTTACAGACAAAGGAGAGTTTAGTCTTCATGCGTGGGCTATTTGGAAAAGCAACTACTGAAACCATTCCTTGAAAAGCAGGCATCAGTATGAACAAGAAATTAAAAGGGAAGAAAAGCAGGAACACTGACCAAGTTTAGTAGACATTAGTATTAAAAGCTAAAGAGATTGCCATGCATCCAGGTTCATTCTCTCGTGTCATGCACAACAGTTAGATAACAGCACTCATCAAAAGCCATGACCAGAGCATTCTCCGCTTAAACATAACATTAACTTAAAAAATGCCACAATGCAGCTACATTCATTTCATTTGTATTCTTTGTTATTGGTTTAATTAATAGTTTTGTAAGGTGGGTAAAAAGTAAAAAACACACCAACCTTCTCGCAGCTCTGAGGGATGTAGGGGGTTTGATGCAGAACACAATGAAATGAGGAAAGGAGAAAAACAAGGGAAACACAGAGAGAGTAAAAAGGCCATATCAAGGCTTTCAACTGCTACTTGAACATCTCTACTTGCTCTAATTAAACCTTCCTACCTCATCTTGAAAAGTTAGCATTTTCCACAGCTAAACGGAAACAATAGCTAGCATAATTTTGAAATTTTCCTTTGGATATAAAGGTATACATGCCTCATGCAGTACAGGAGAGTCAGTATGTTGGAGGAGAAGAGAAAGAAAATAAAAGATCAAATAAATTTCTACGGATGTTATAACTATGAATGGTTTTCCTTTCTTTTTCTTTTTTAATTAGCCAAAAGAGTAACACCATATGAAAACGCATCAGGTTGATAGAAAAATCAGCTCTAAAAAAAATTTCAAAATCAGGCTAGGCTTTTTCTGTAAGGTCATCCATCCTACTGTAAGGTTTAAGCTGTTTATATTTTCATTCTTTTTTCCCCCACCCATCCCCTTATATAATAGACACACACACACACACACATATATATATATACACACATATGTATGTATGTATGCAATAGGCTTTGTTTTACAGAACTCTACATCAATCAGACGTAGGAAATACTGCCTGAAACAAAGCCCTTCTTTCTAGGTGAATCAAAAAGAAAATTCAATATGTTAATAACCATTTTTACCACCATACAGAAGAATATAATGGTTTTATTATTAGTCATACCTGTCATACAAAAGGCAATTTCTTAAAATAATATAGCCAATTGACCCCTATCCTTCTAAAGGACTACACTTCACTTACAAGTCTACACTAAAAAAAAAAATAAAATATATTTTTATATATTATACACATACATATATATTAAGAAGAAAGAGAAAAGAAGAAAATACAGTTGTGCTCTGCATACATAAAGTTATAATGTTAGAAGCCTTTCCTTTGCAGTTAGACAGCAGAGGTCAGGTATGCATACACCTCAATGCCCCGGGGTTACACTCAGCTGATTAGTGGCACACAGAGCAGTCACTTCAGGAGTTTGAAAAGAAACGCAAAATAAAACAAAACAAATACAAGAATATAAATGCAAAGCACAATTTAACTTAATGCAGGAAAAAAATAAAGTTAAAATGCAAAAATATAAATATACTTACAAACCTTAACCCACAGGATAGACTGGACTCAAGAGTGCTTTAAAAGAACAAATAAACCCCAAGCCTTTCCTCTACAGTTTAAAATTAGCTTTACAATTGACACAGTTACCATGGCATTTTGGTCATTACAGCGGTTACTGTACAGATCCTGAGAGTATCTTAGCCCTGAACCTGCATGAACAGTGGATGCCAGGGTTATGTCATTCCTACCTCTGACATATAGATTGGCAGGGGCAGAATAGCGTGTACCCGCACTGTTGGTTGCAACACACTCATATTTGCCTTGGTCAGATTCTTCACTCAGTTCAATTTGGAGGGCACCTGTATGAATATAAAATACATTGCCAAAAAGAGGGTCAGAGAAGGCTTTTTACATCCATAACAATACACCTCTCAACAATATGAAAAGCTTGTATGCGAAGGTCCACTCAACGTCGATTCATTTTCTTGCTAAGGTGCACAGACAGAAAATGATGCAATGAAAAAAACAGAGATTATTTTTTTCACATCATCAGTGCTAGCACAGGAAAACAATCAGCATTTGGCAAAAAAAAACACAACAAAACCCTGTCTAAACAATACTATTTCCTAAGCCATTAAATGAAGATGGGTGAGACTGCTTCAAGGAAGAATGGCTTTTAATAAAACAATAGAGATTAAATAGTTGGGTCATTATAGTTTTTTATTTTTTATTTAATTGTTTCAATCTAGTAACAAAAGTAGCACAAAAGGTGGTACTCATAAAAAAGCAGGACAGACTTCAAGAAATCTTCTGCTGAAGAAAGCCAAAAATGCGCAGCAAGAACAAAAAGGCTGCTTGAAGTGAAAAAAAAGAAATTGTATTAGTCATTTACAATTATCAAAATATTATTTTAAAGAAATAAAACTCCTTTAAGACATGCAGATCGATAAGAAAAGAAAGACCGTTTTCCGCAACTTACAATCTTAAAGTACGTTTGCTGAAAAACAAAGAGCAGTTGAATTAGAAGACAAAAAAGTTTCAAAAGCATGGTCTACGCCAACAAGGAAGAACCAACCAACCACTGCTGAGGACCATAGGAGGGCCCCTCCTGAGACACCCATCAAAATCCACAAGTGGGATTAGCAGTGTGGTGTCACAAAACCCAAGAAAAATATAAAACAAGAATTACAAAAGAAGTAAACAGTTTTGCTAGAGAATCAAAAACCAATACCACATACCACCAAGAATAATGAGTCAGTAACCTTTCATTTCCAAAGCCTGTAGATTAGAAGATCCAAAAATCCAGAGGTGAGAGAATTCCAAAAAAAAAGAAAACTACAACAACAACCAAAAAAAAAAAAAAAAGGCAAAACCACAATAAAAGGAAAAAAACCACTTCTGTAATTCTTTAGGGAGGGGATACATAATTTTCAATTTTATGAAGTTAAAGAAAAAAAAAGGATTGAAGAAGAACAAAACCAAAAACCTTTTATGAAAGATAAGACAAAAAGAAGATAGTCCATGTTGTCTTCTGCATGTCTGCTACTGTTCTCCAGACCATCTTGGCTTTGGTCCAGGAAAAGAACAGCTAAGGAAGAAAAAAAAATGATCTTTTTTTGCTCCAGTTGGACAAAAAAAAAGAGGAAGGAAAAAAAGAAGAAAAAAAATAAGAAAAAGAAAAAAGAAGAAAAAGAAGAAGTAGAAAAAAGAGAAGAAGAAGAAGAAAAAGAAAAAGAAAAAAGAGGGACAAATGGTACGCTGTGACTGGGCTATGGCCAGGAGACCTGGATATGCTTTCTTTGAAGCATATCACTTTTTTTTTTTTTTTTTTTTTTTTTTTTTTTTTTTTTTTTAATGAACAAATGAAAAGGGGAAAGGAAAAGGCAATGTGAAGAAAGAAAGGTCACAATATGAGAGCCACTGATCATAACCAAACAGGACAAAGGAAAAAGAAAATCAGATGATGGACATTTCTGTGGTTTTTATTTTGTTTTGTTTTTTCCTTATGGAAAACAAAACAAAACAAAACCAAAAACAGGACAAAGATGAGAGGGATGAAAGGACAGAAAGAATGAGTAAGATCATTCTGTGAACGTTAGTTCAGCACTCTTACCTCTTATTGGTGTACCACCTGGGTGGATAATATGAATGCAAATAAGATTAGAAAGAAGAAGCATTAGTACGAGAAGAAGGAGGCTAGGGCTTTGGAAGAAGAATCAAATTAGATTTACAGAATTAAATAAGGTCTTAAGAGAAACTTGAATTACTATACTGTTAAAACAGGAATATATTAGATAGTATTATCAGGTTATAAAAGCAAGTTGCATTGTACCACAAAGGGCAAAAAAGCTATAATTGGCTGCACTGCCATTCTCAGAATAGCATCTGAGTTCTTAGACGTTCGGTTAAACAGGGTTAGAAATGTATCAAATATGCCTCAAATACTTAAAGGAAACTTTACAAAACTGTACTTATGACATATTTTAGGAAAATATTGGAAATTCTATTTAAATATATATATATATCTATATATATATAAAAAGAGGATATACTGAAGTCTATCTCAAAACAAACACTGTAGTTTAGGTTGGATTATGGCATTTACTGTTCTAGATCTATGTGATACATGTGTACTGTTTCTTTTAGGTGTTGCTATGACTGATAAGACAACATTTCTGTGGAGGTGTGCGTGTGCGCCACTATAGGGGTCTGGTGACTACACTGACTGTTAGTAAAATGCATGCCATGCATTTTAAGAATAATAATACTAATCATATAATAATTATCATAATCATAATCATAATATTCTGAATATGGAAATTAGTGGGGGTGAAGTGCGCTTCAGAACTAAGCACTTACCAATAGATTCTGGAGATTTAAATACGGAGAGAAGAAAGACAGCATAAAAATATTATTATATTCCTTATAATTTGGTACAAAGTTTTCAGTTAAAGCTTTATATACTAAATCATCTATGTCACATGTGAAAAAAATCTTAATTTACATTAACAGAAGGTTAATTTACACAGTTCTGCTGACAACAAGCAAAAAGTAGGTTAACAAGACGATTTAACATCACAGGACAGGTCAAAAGCTGAGAATTCTGGGAAGACACGTGATTAAACAACTTAGATTCTACAACGATATCTACTACAATTGTTGAAGAAAAAAGCTCATTATATCCCAGTGATCAATGATCTGATCTTATTTTGGGATAAGCATTAAACTCGATAAATTTAGAGATTTGTTTGTCTGTTTCTGTTTTTGTTTTGTTTTTAATCTAAAGAGAGCAAAAGAATAAACTAAGGCAGGAGGAGAGTGAGAGAACTGCTAGGAAGGTGCAAGGGGCAAAGAGAGAGAAAGAGCAGCAAAAGCTGGAATCTACACCAAAAGCAGACTTCTGTAGATCCAGAAAATATAGGATTCATAAAGCTTTAGCGTGGACGCACACTACTGTGGCTAAATGTGTTGGAAAAATGCTCAGCCAGCAAAAAACCCCCAAGTTTGTTCCATAGATTTCCCAAAGATTTCATTTCCCTTTTTTTTTTTTTCAGGTATAAATCTGCATGGGAAGAAGTACTGTGCTTTATGTATTTGTGAGAGGAAAGAAGATGTGTCCAAACTGGCTAATCTTTGGTGAAGTCAAATGTGGAAAAGACAGCAATAAACACATTTTAGATTTTAATTGAAGTGTCTAATGCAGGTTTTGGTTTTGATGAATATAACCATTGGTACTCCTTGCAATTTCTGAATGAAGTCCAATGTTGAAATAAATTTGTTAAAAAAAATTAAAAGGAAAGAAGAAAGAAAGAGGAGAAAATGGATCCATCAAGTACTGCAGAAAGCAGTAAAGAAAAAAATTATCAAAAAATACAGTCACAGCAGTGAGCAATGTGGAGTAAACAGAAGCTGCAAAACACATAGAGACAGACTCTATAGAAAGCTATGACAACATCACAGACATGGACAACACACTCAGTAACACAGAAAAGGAGAGGGGAAAGAGAAATTATTACCTATAAATAAAATATTTTTAAAAAAGGAAGAGAAAGAAAAGAAAGAAAAAGTGAGAGAGAACAACTCTGGGCGTCAGTGGAAACAGTAACAAGACCCTACCTGAGCGTAGCTGCTTGATGCGGCCATTGTTGTTGCTTGTGTCAACAGGTAAGAAATCTTTGAACCAAGTTATTTCAGGATCAGGATTGCCACTGGCTGCACACAACATGGTAGCTGTACGAGTTCGTTCAACCACCTTCAGCTGTGGGCCCATATCAATGGTTGGAAAACCTCGAGGAATTTGATCCTCTGAAAAAGAAATTTATAAATTGAGGGATTTAATTTCAGTTGTACAGTGCTGCATGAAAGCCCGAATCACCCTGCTTAACATTTAGTGATCACCTCATTATTTATAAACAACAAACAATTGATCAAAATGCTGATACAAAAGAAAAAGTTAATTAAAAATGGCTATAATCCTTATAATTATAAAATCATACGAGATACACTAGTTAGCAGGCAATCATTGGACCCATACTGAGGTACCATACAACACTGATGTTGCCCTTCTTGCAAGAGGCCCTACTATTTTACATGAAATATCAAGTTACCATTATCAAATCTACCAACCTTAATGAAAACTCCTCTTTATACCAGAGAAGTACACAAGGAAGGATCACAGTGCAGTGTAAGATCTGGCCGCTAACTCAGAAGACCTAGGTTATGTTTCTTGCTTCTATCGTTATTACTTATCTGCTGTTGTTTAACATCTATTGCCCCTGTGCTTTGATTGTCCATCCTACAGATGGACTTGATAGTGCTTTACTGCTATAGGGGAGTGCTGCAAAGATGAATGCCTTATAGGACTGCAAAACACCGAGAAATTCTAAACATTGCAGCTGTGTGGACAGCAAAGTTAAAGTGGCACAAAACTCACAATGGTATTGAATAGATACAACAGGGTCTATTAAAACACTCAGATACAGCCCCAAATCCTCATGCTAGTGTGGTTAATACTGAAATATTAAAAAATATTGCACAAGAGTAATTGGCCTTCATAATGTGACACCTGCTATCAAGTAACACTGAAAGCTGAAAGCACAGTAGGATCAGGAAATTTCTCAGAAATCAAGTTTGCATAGCTAAAATAACCTGTTTGAAATAAAAAATCTTGCTCCTCATTTCCACTGCAATGGCAAAAATATTTTTACTGAAAAGTAATAATTCCATTCAAAAACGAAAATCAAAAATAACCAAAGAAAGAGGATAAACACTCACTATAAGCCACATGTTATTTAATGTCTTAACTAATCATTACTGACATGCAATTGATTAGGGGATAAAACTAACAGGAGAAATTGTTCAACATTAACTCTCTTTAGTTAAGAAGTGTCACATTTTCAAAGATGTCAGGTAAGTCTTCTGACTTTTCTGAAAATATGTACAGCAAACACAGCCTACAGATCTTTGTAGTTCCTGGGGTATGATGTTGCTCGTGAGCTACTTAACTGCTTGCAATACAAGTGCACATAGATAACCACAGAATAACAGAATGGTTTAGGACCTTAAATAAAATCTGCATTCAACCCCTCTGCCATGGACAGATATCTCTTCCACTAGACCAAATTACTCAGAGATACATCCAACCTGGTCTTGTACACCTTCAGAGATGGGGGAATCCACAACCTGTCTGAGCAACCTATTTCAGTGCCTCACCACCCTCAGAGTAAAGCTTTTCTTCTTAAGATCTAATCAAAACCTACTCTTCTTCAGCTTAGGGAAAATCTCCCATTTCCTATCCCTTTTGAAAAGTTCCTCTCCAGCCTTCTTGTAGTGCCTCTTTAGGTACTGGAAAGCATAACAAGGTCTCCAGAGCTTTATCCTTTCTCGGCTGAACAGCCCCAACTCTCTCAGCTCTTCTTTGCAGAAGAGGTATTTCAGACCTCTCATCAACTTGTGGCTATCTACTGGACTCATTCTAACTAATCAAAGTCTTTCTTCTGTTGGAGGCTCCAGACCTGGACACAGTACTCCAGGTGGGAGTCTCACAACAAAAGAATAGAAAGGTATAAGCATATCCCTTCACCTCCAGGACATGCCTCTGATGCAGTCCAGAATAAGATTGGCTTTCTGAGCGGCGAGTGTACATTGCAGGGTCATATCAAACTTTTCATCCACAAATATCCTGTCTTTTTTCCCAGGGTAAGCCTCAATTTGTTTTCCACTAAGTCTCTATTATTATTTGGAATGACCCCAACACAGGTACAGAACCTTTCACTCGGTCTTGCTGCACTTCCTCAGGTTCCACGTCTCAAGCCTGTTAAGGTCACTCCATGTCCTTCACTGGGGTGACCCCATCACACAGCGTGGTGTCACTGGCATATTTGCTAAGGGAGCACTCAATCCCACTGCCCATGTTGCTGACAAAGGTGCAAGTAGCACTGGGCCCAATATGAATCCCTGAGGATCTTCAGCTGACACTAGTGTCTAACCAGACATTGAGCTGCTGACTGCAACTCTAGGAGCGCCACCATCCAGCCAATTTTTTATCCACCAAGAGTTCCACCTGTCAAAATTCCCGCCTCTCCAGTTTAGAGACAAGGATGATATTTGGAAGAGTGTCACGTGCTTCACACAAATCCATGCAGATGATTTCTGCTGCCCTTCCTTGGTCAACACTGCTGTAACGCAATCCTAGAAGGCCACCAAATTTGTCAGGCATGATTTGCCTTTAGTGAAGCCATGCTGGCTGTCAACAATCATCTAATTATTTTCAATGTCTCTTAGCATATTTTCCAGAAGGATCTGTTCCATGACCTCTACAAGCACTGATGTGAGACTGCTTGGCCTGTAATTCTTTGGTCTTCCTTATCTCCCTTTTTAAAAGTGGGGTCATGTTTTCCCCTTTCCTGTTGGTGGGAACTTCACCGGACTGCCACGAGTTTTCAAATATGATGTGTAGTGGCTGCATTCTTTCATCCCAACACTCTAGTCATAAGAGAGGTCCCTGCGTTTCCATGATGCCAGTTAAAGTCATAGACCTGCAGGCATCCACACATCTCTACTACCACCCATGCTGCATGCGTTAGCACTAAAGAGTTTTAAGTTGCTCCCCAATGACGCTGACTTTCTGTCTGGTGTGGCTGGACTGTCTTGGTGCTCTGCTGCTGACCTGCATACCCTCTCCAGACTCTTTCTGGCTCAGCAATCTAACTAGTATGTGTGGGATGGCAAGTCCCACACTTTATCACTATTAAACCTGATGATATCTCCCTCCCCTCATATCTAATTTAAACCCCTATCAATAAGCCTGCTAGCCCTTCACCAGAGAATCCCTTCCCCCTTGGAGAGAGCTGAATCCCACCTTCATTCAGCAAGCTGGTGCCACATATATAGGCCATCCCATTATCAAAGAAATCAACATTTTGGTGATGACACTCGTCATGGAATCATGTGGGTCTATCTGTTTCTTTCAATGCTAACACCTGCAACTGGAAGAACAGAGGAGAAATAATCTTCACCCAATTCACCAACAATTCCAGGGCCTTGGTACTGTGAACACAACTCTCCAGAAAGCTTTCATGACTCTTCAGAACAAGGATTTCTACCAATCAGTTGATAAATGCCAAATCATTCACCAGCCATAGGCTCTTCCCAAAGAAAGGTATGTTTCATGTCTGCTTATAAAAGTCCTTGCTTTGGTATTAACTGACAAGATTTGACTTGGGACACAGAACAGGATTTTTATGACCTTACCTTTCCTACTTGGCTTATACAAAAAACCCTAGAGTCCCTTTTGCAAATACCTAAGTGTACAACAAAGATAATCTATCTTGAATGTTAATAGGATGAAGTAGTAAAGAGCCTCCCTTTCTTATTTTTAATAAGGGCAATTAAATTCCATCCATCTGCCTTATGCATACAATCTCTTTGAATGAATGCTCTTCATGAAATTTTCATGAGAAACATCAAAATCGAACATTCAAATACCCAGAACTGTTATATTTTTGACAGTTGTGGCTGGTATCCAACCTGGCTTTCAGGTATCTGGCAATAAACCCAGATATACAACATCAAATGGACAAGGGAAATGATGAAATTTCTAATTGGAAGGCTTATCACAGTGGATTTCATTTTTAGGATATTTACTTTTTTTCCTCTAAGTTTATTAATAATTTGTACAACTGTCTTTACACATTAGTGATACCAAGTATGACAGATCATCAAACACTCTAGGAAACAAAGTTGAGCATCAAATCATTGTACAACTGCATCTCAGCCACAGTAAGAGGAAAGTAACTATTACAAATTTTTTATATATTGGTATCGCTATAATTTTACGTGAGGTGGACAGGAAAAACATTTTTTACTGATCATTAATATACTCACTAGGTTCTAAACTACAGTATATTCTGGTCTTCCCATGTAAAATTCAGTTCCAGACAATTAGTTTCCAATTCATCAACAATTTAAATCAGACTTGACCTTCTCAAAGCCATTTGGTACTGTCATTTTTAGAGGCCATTAAAGGTCAGATTTTTCTGTCCTTGTGGTTTAGTGACTTATACATGTAATACATATTTTGTTTAGGATGACAGATACAAGTGATTTAGAAATAGGCCACACACTCTGAATCTGTTATTTGTCTTAAAGGTACTGAATTTCATTATTGGCATTAAAAGAATGCATTTAGTTCAGCACTAGTATAATTTCCAATTGCTGCATGACTTCACAGAAGTTATTTGTCAGCGTATGATCTGAACAATGTAGAAAACAATTACAGAGAGAGATTACTAGATAAGCCCATAAGAGAGAATGCAACAAAATGACCTTGCCTTGCTTTGGATCATGGCTCTTCGTATTTCTCAAATCTCTGTACATTCAATCAGTTTGACATTGCTCACCCAAGGCACACAGAATGGACAACAAACAGAAGGTGGAAGCCACTGAGCTGCCAGAAAGTTGTCACCTTCTTGCCATTACTGAAACCTGGTGGGATGTGACTGGAGTGTGACTACTGATGGCTACAGGTTCTCCAGAAGAGACAGGTGAGGAAAGAGAGAGGCAGAGGGGTGGCCCTCTACATCAGGAGGCAGACTGAGTGTGAAGAGCTGTCTCTGAAGAGCAGCCACAAGCAGGGCAAATGCCTGTGGCTAAGGATCAGGGACCGAAACAACAAAAGGAACCTTGTGGATGGTTTTAAGTGCAGACCCCTGATCGAAGGGACCCTACTGATGAAGCCTTCTTGCTCCAGCTACAGGAGGCATCATGCTCACAGGCTCTTGTCCTGCTGGGGCATTTCAACCATC